TCACATTTAGGTCTTTCAACCATTTTGAGTCTATTTTGTGTGTGGTGTAAGAAAATGGTCCAGTTTCATTCTCCTGCATGTGGCTGTCCAATTTTCCCAACACCATTTGTTAAAGAGACTTTTTTCCATTGGACATTCTCTCCTGCTTTGTCAAAGATGAGTTGACCATAGAGTTGAGGGTCCATTTCTGGGCTCTCTATTCTGTTCCATTGATCTATGTGACTGCTTTTGTGCCAGGACCATACTGTCTTGATGATTATAGCTTTGTAATAGAACTTGAAGTCCGGAATTGTGATGCCGCCAGCTTTGCTTTTCTTTTTCAACATTCCTCTGGCTATTCGGGGTGTCTCCTGGTTCCATACAAATTTTAGGATTATTTGTTCCATTTCTTTGAAAAAAGTGGATGGTATTTTGATAGGGATTGCATTAAATGTGTAGATTGCTCTAGGTAGCATTGACATCTTCACAATATTTGTTCTTCCAATTTTGTATATCAAAGCAGCAGGATACAGTTTTAAAAGAGTTGCACAACTGAAAATGTTAGTGAATTATTCATGTTTTCATGGTTTTAAACACCATACTATGGCATCAACCAAGGAAACAAGTGATTTAAAATATCTATAGTATCTTGAAATTTATAGGGAGGAGAGATGAAATAAGTTCTAGACTTTGGCCACACCCTACAATATCCATCACACCAGCTTTGAGGAAGAATAAAAAATATTCTCGCTAATGACCAAAGTATTCCCCGGCAGAGGCAAAGTGCCTCGGGAGGGAGATTAATTCTTTTAAGTTCTGCAGCAATAAAGTACTTAATGTGACCATAATGGCTTGAAAAATTTAATAAATTCCCCAATATTCTTACCAGTGGGTAATCTTTCAAAGCAAGTACTGCAGAGGATGAAATATACTGCCATGTCTCCTCTGCTCTATTCGCAAAAGATATAATGAAAGGATGTTTTTGTGATACTGAGTTTTCAGGATATTTTCCTCCTTTAAACATATTTTTATTAACTTTAACATGTTCCCAAACTTACCTTTCTTAATTTATTTCTGATTACTTTCTAACATAAACCTTTCATCCTGACTAATCTGGTTTCATTATCTTCAAAATTGGCCATATATCCTCCCAAGTATACACATTTGATCATGCCAATAAGTTATACAATTTCTCGATTCCTTAAAGACCTCCCTGTAGCATTTATAAAGTATCCCTGGCAGCCTAGTCCAGTGATCTCGCCTGAGATCAGATACAGGCTTTCCTGATTGGCTTTTGTACTGACTGGTCTATGGACTCAACAATTCATCACAGACTCCTTTCACATGGATATGCCATGAGTCTGCGCCTGGACAAACAGCATATATAATGTGTAGACTTCACTAGCACCTGACTCACATAGTAGTAGCCCAACAAATGAGCTAAATGATAATCATGGTAATGGAGTAAATGTCCTCTATGCTAATGGTTCAAAACCATGAAGGGGTGAATCAGAAAAGCACCTGGAGATTTTTTTTTTTTTAACAACAGATCCTTGGGCCCCATTACTTGGGAGTATATATGGAGTAGGGATGATCAGGGCATTCATACATTTTCAAAAGCTCTTCAACTGATTCTAGGATTTCAGGAAATGTTAACCAAGCTATGGAAAGAAGCCCCAGGGTGAAAGTATTCCCAAAGTGTGCACTGTAGACCGTGGGACTCTTCAAGCAGACCCACCAAGATGAAAAGGTGTGTCTCCCACCACCCTCACTCCCACCCATCTTCTGACCCTGCTATAAAACAGGCAGAAGAAATGTAAATTTATGCAACTGTTTAAAGAAGAAAAATAAAATTCAGAGTTATACTGTCATAATGCTATGACTTGTATATTTCTTTTAGAGTTACTTTAACAATTAGTTATATGGTTTAACAATATAATAGCAAAAATTGTATGATTTTAAGTTTTAAACAAGTTTTATGTTTAAACATGTTTTTATTAAACACTTTCACTTTCTAGACTTGTTTGAAATAATCAGTATTAGCTGGAATGTTTGCTTTGCAAATAGTAACATTTTGTTTGTGCAGATGTTACTGTCTTGCTACAAAAAGTTGATCCAGAGTCTGTATTTTTATGAATCAAGGCTTTTAAGCAATTTGGCAGCCTTTTAAAAAGAACAGCTTTGTTTAAATAGATTATTCTGTTTTTTTACATAAAAATATTTTAATTCTCCATTTCTGGAAAACTTCATCCTGATAAGATGCCAATATATAACTATTTTATGAAACAATAACATACTTCAGAGAAAAATTATAATTCATATAAATATATAAAACAGCATTTTCTTTATAAGAGAAACCTACTTAACTTTTAATTCTACTCTTTATTTTTTATATTTTTACTTCAAAAATTAATATTAGAAGCTAATTTTAATACAAAACACTTAAAAAACAAATGGGAAATATTTGTAATAAGTATGGCAAAGGATCAACAAAAAAGGACAAATATCACAAAAGAAAATTAGATAAGGGATATTAATAGGCCATTATCAAAAGAAAACATGAAAGGCCAATAAACATTTAAAATATCAATTTTTGTTAGAAACCAAAATAAATACAAAACTGAACTATATAATTTTTTTCCCTATCAGACAGTTTTTTTGTTAGACTAGTACAGTATAACCAATACAAAGAAAAGGGCATGCTCATATACTCTTGGTCAAAGTGCAAATTTTCCAGCCCTCTAGAAGGCAATTTACACGTATCCAAGGCCTTAAAAATGTGCCTGTCTTTAGCCTATTAACTTCACTTACAGGACTTCTTCCTAAAAAATTAAATGGACACACATTCAAAGATACATACATGTTTATGTATATACGTGCTTATATACACATATACAAATTCAATACAGTAATATTGGTGACAGCAAAAATCTGAAAGCAACCTAGGTGTCCAATAATTGGGGCTTAATTAAATAACTTAGGAGCCTTTTAATTACATTTGTAAAGAAATTTAAGACTATGGAAAAATAATTTTGTGATTGTTGTTTCTGGAAGAGGATGAGAAGAAAAAGGTCTAAATATGAATATTGAACTGTATGATGCCAATTTTGTTTTAAGACAATATGAAAGTATCTAAGGAGACTAGAAAAGTGAATAGTAACATCTCTGGTAAATGGAATTATGGATAACTTTATTGTCTTCTTTGGGCTGTTTCTTTATTTTCTTAACTTTTTATAATGATGATATATTACTTTTATACTCAGAAAAAAAAAATCAGATCCGAACGTATCTAAAAACTAATCAGATAAACTTACTACTAAATATGACTACATTATAGTATTTTTTTATTTGCTAAATATTTAAAAGGAAAAATTACTCAAAGGATAAGAATGAATACTTCAAACTTTTAAAATGTTCTGTTACTGTTTTTTTGAACATTCAAACTGGAAAGAAGGTGGTTCAGTCTCAGAACATGTAAGCACCAGAACATACCGTTCCAGGGTTGGTGACAATCATGCCTTTGCATTCTTCTGCATATTTCTGCCACTCAAGTTCTTCCCACTGAAGCATATTGGCAATCTCCTCTTCAGGAACCAGGGCTTTGCTACACCGTAATAAGTAAAGGAGAATTTGGTGCATGGACAGCACTTCCTTTCCTCCATCTTGGGTGGGAGTGGAAAGAGAGGGAAAAATAAAGCTACTCAATAGTCAATCATCAGCCAAATAAGGAAAAACAAGACAGTGAGGGGAAAAAGAACATTTATAAAAAAGTAATTTAGAATTTACATTGTTTAACCAGGTGCCAAATAATACAAAAACCATTTGTTTCATTGATGAACAGTGCTCATAAACCATCTCATTTACTAAAATGGTAACAACAACATTATAAATGATAAAAGGCTCCATTTGTGAGGTCTGAAAATAAAAAAAAGTGCCTACCTAAATAAATTTAAAACCACCTAGCATAAAGAGCCATGGTTTATAATATACAGAACTATGTTATGTCTTAAATATTTTATCATTCTTTCTAAGGTAACAGATGAAAGCTCTTTAGAAGTGATATTACTGTCTTAAGGAAATTCTAAGCTTTTACGAGATATTTATGGATGTTTCCAATAAACTATTGTTGCATTATGGTCTAATTTTTTGGTGCTAATGTGCTGCACCTGCCGTGATGAATAGCGCTAAAAAGGCTGTACTAATATCATGAAGATCATTATGGAGTTAGTACATGGAAAAAATACCAAGTATTCTGAGGCTTACAGAAGCATATATTACCAAGTACAGAGGATAAAAACAACAAAGGACATAATTAAAATACCTTGGAAAAAGCCAATTAATCTGGTACTTGATGAACCAAAGACATTCATATAATGTGGGCATTAATTTTGGGTTCACAGGCTTCTTCTGCCTTCTTTCTGGGTTTAATTTCTTGATCAATATGTGCCTGTTCTTTGCCTAATCCCAACCCAAGAAAGGACAAGAACTCTGAAGGTTTGGAGGACAATGACTACCCTCCCCAGGTCATGAGATATGCTAGGAACACCAGTATAGGGCCAAACACTTCATGGAGAAACAAGGGACCAGGATGGTGGGGATGGGAGGGCACAAATGAAGAGTGTCCTATTTGTGCTAGAGGAATTAATGGCACCCAAGGAATCTGAGGTACTAGAAAAAGAGGATGAAAGATCTTTTTTTTTAAGATTTATTTATTTATCAGAGAAAGAGAGTGTAAGTGAGCACAAGCAGGGGGAGTGGCAGGCAGAGGGAGAAGCAGACTCCCCACTGAATAAAGAGACCGATGCGGGACTTGATCCCAGGACTCCGGGATCAGGACCTGAACCAGAGGCAGATGCTTAACCGACTGAGCCACCCAGGCGTCCCAAAAGGTCTTTAATATGAGTTGCTGGGGGTAAGAACCTGGACAGGACTACACATCTGAGAAAGAAGAGAGGAAAGGTCAAAATTTCTTTTTGATCTTTGTGTTTTCTTTTAATCTCAGATGTTGTTATGGAACTAGACAGCACTGTTACCATATATGTAGGCATGCATTTATTCATTAAATACTTGTTTATATTCAACAAATATTTACTGAGCACCTATTAAGCAGCAGGCACTCTTCCAGACCCTAGAAATACAGTGGTGATCTAAACAACCAAAACAGAGAAGGGAAAGACACAGTAAAAAACAACCACAAAATAAATCAGGTCAAGATAAAGACTCTTCTATAAAGGTTCAAAACGGGTGAAGGACTGCAGCTATATTTAAAATGATGGTCAGGGAAGGAATCCATGAAGAGGTGCCATGTGAGCAAAGACTAGAAAGAAGCAGAGGAGCGCATTATGTAGCAATCTGGGAGAAGAGTGTCTCAGATAGAAAAAACAGCAGAAGGCCTAGAGTAAAGTGGGATTGATGTGTTCCAGCAACTGCAAAAAGGCAACGTGGATGGAATGAGGGAAGGAAGAGATGTGAAAGAGGTGGCAGGGAGGCTGGATCTTGCAAAGCTTCTACAGAGCACAGGAAGAGCTCTGGATTTTATTTTCTGATGAGCAGGTTTATTACCATTATGTGCCAGGCACTATGAGTGGTCCCATGTCACAGTCATGGAAAAAACAAACAAAAACACAAGCTCTAGGCCCTCAAGAAGCATGTAGGCTAACAATGATTAATCACAACTGTTCCTAGAGGAAGCTGTGTAGATGACATTCTGAAAACAGAGTTCTCTTAATCAAAGACATTGAGTCTCCAAAAAAAAAAAAAAAAAAATTTGTCCAAGAAGTGACTAAAATACAATCAACCCACATGAGGACATGTTATACCTACTGATTCAGATTATTGCTCACAGCAGTGAAATTTTTTATGCCTCATTACAAAACATCTGCTTTAAACCCAAGAGTCACCTTTGATTAAGAAACTTCCATTGTAAAGGGCATATTTCTCAAGAGTCCGTCTCAAAAGACATTTCAATCTCCCTGCATATAACATGCTCTCCTCTTTGCTAAGGAGCCCAGCAAAGCCATAATGCCTATCACGATGCCTGTCTGTCTGAGACCACAGTAGTCTCTACTTGTAGGGAGTCTGAGGCAAACAGATGGAAAAGAGAACACTTACGCCAGAATACGATGATTTACACCGCATGTGTATACAGAGAGAACAGCAGAGAGAAAAAGGAACCCTAGGGAGCTTTGAGAAGAACTAGCACACTGACTAGATTCATTAGGAACCAAGAAAGGAGTAAAATAGTATTTGGCTCATAATCTCTGTATTTGGTAGTATCACTAAAGAGCACTGTGGGCCTACAAGGATCCATCAGAAGCCCAGCATGCCATAAGAAGGAAGAGAGTGTTGTTTTGTTATAAGGATTAGAAAAAAAAGGCTCAGATTTTATTTGGGGAAGGTGGTACATGGTAGAAGGAGCAAATATATGCAACACCAGGTATACAGAATAGCACTAAAATCTCCCCACCAGCAGTTACAGAGGGCTGACTTCATGGCACTGCAAACAGAAGTGAAATAGACTAAGTGCGATGAATTTAAAGTGAAAAGACTAAAAAACTAAAAAAGCTATTGGAAGAGAGGAATACTTGGGCCTACAAACCAAGGACAGGGCCGTTTTAGGAGAAGAATACCTGAAAGATACAGAAAAAGGGCCACGGGGTGCCTGGGTGGCTCGTCGGTTAAGCATCTGATTTCGGCTCAGGTCATGATCTCAGGGTGCTGGGATCGAACCCCGCTTCGGTCTTTGCACTCAGCAGGAAGTCTGCTTGTCCCTCTCCCTCCGCCCCTCCCCCCCCACTCATGCACACGGACTCTCTCTCTCAAATAAATAAATAAAATCTTTAAAAAAAAGAAAAAAAGAAAAGGCCACCAAATGCTTGTAAGAATGCTTTTACCTTTGGGTGCAAAGCTGCTAATGAGAAAGTAGAGCTTTACCACAGCACAGAAACCAGAAACATTTAAAAGCATACACACATCAGGTGAGAAGTCAGTAATGCTGAAGGAGAAATTATAAATCCATGTTGAAACCTAAGTATTTTAAATGGCAACTACAATCTAGAGAGACAGATATTCACCACTGTGACAAAGCAGAAACCCAGGACAGAGAACCTGAAATGAAAGGTTTACCAAGGAGGGGGATCGAGGCACTGCTCCAGGTTCGGTACTGGGGTGCAATCCTTATGGAAATATTAAAAAAGGAAGACAAGACTAGAGTCCTGTCAGAGCCCATGGGGCAAGGGCTGCATCCCTCACACCCAGCCTGGTAAAAAAGATACTCCATAAATATCTGTGGGAATGACTTCCTAAAGCAGATAAATAACATGGCCACTTGCTCGCAGACTGCCATGAATTTACTAATGTTAATGAATTGGCTCTTCTGGTTTGTCTGCTTTGCTACATGTTTATGTTGGGGATTTATGAAACTATGTCACTGAGGGCTAGGAAGTAATTTTTATCTCATTGGCTGAGATAAATAGGACATGATATAAATGACAAATTAGAGCGGGTAAGCTAAGGTTAGCAGGAATTCTGCCAGCACTGGGACTGGAACTGTGACAATGGCTCATTATTCGGGAAGAACTGGAGTTTGTGTTTCAGGGAATGAATCTGGACAGTCATTAATGAACCGACAGACTTTATAAACTGTTTCTTAGAGACCCAATTCTCTCAGTTTATATTGCCTGATTATTTATATGGTGGGGGGGCAATTTGTTAGGGAATTTGTGGTAAGAATATGGCTGGTCAAACAAGTATTTCTCAACAGTGTAACAGTTATTTTAAGAACTATAAAAATACCTTCCTCTTTGCCTACACTGAGAATAACTGTATAACTGCATTATCATGTCTCCTGTATATTCCTGGTAACATGTCTTTACATAATCTTAACTTTTGAAGATTTGTATTAACGGATATTTTCTAAACTTCCCTCCAAAAAAGCTACTTTCCAAATAGAAAAAGATGCTGTATCAATTGATGTTTCTTTAAACTACACTTGGTTCCCTGGGAATTTTGAGATAGTCTCCCAACCTCTGGTTCTCTCGCAGCCATACCTGCAAACTACTTCTCCAGAATGGGGCAATCTCCAGAAATCAATTTGCACAATAACCGATTCGCAATCAACTGATTAAGGAATTCTGAAGCTTTACTAACAGTGATGATACAAGCAGTGAACAGCCTTTCCCATAAGAGCAGCTTTCCTGTCTTGAATTATGCCCTGCCCTAGCTCCAGCCCCAGCTCCAGCAAGAATAAAACCTTAAACTAATTCTACCAGAGCTCTTATCAATGATTTGGCTACCCAAGGTAGAGGCGGGTATTGGAAGGAAACAAAAATTTGAGAAAATCCTTAAAATCTCAATAATCTAGTTGCTCTGTGATTTGACTCCTGGTCAACTGGCCTGAATTAAATAATCCTTGGTTTAAACTATAAGCTTAATTTTGGATAAATTAATATGGAGCAAATGAGACAGTTATCTTCAAAACTGGGTAAACTGGGAAACTAAAGAAAAATGATAATAACTGATAAAACTTCAATTAGATATAATAAATTGATACAGATGAAAAGCAAATGAGCATGAGAGGATCATGAAATACCCGAAATATATGAAAGCTGCTCATTCTCATACGAGTTCAAGTAAGATGCAAATAATAACCATGAGGTTACGTTGTGCCTCTCAGATGGACCCAACTGTAGAAGTCTTGATATCCAGTGTTGGCAGATATACCAAAAAAGGGTACTGCTAAAAATGCTGGTTAGAGCTACATATCATGTCCTTTCTAGAGAACAATGGGCAACATTTTACAAATACTGTCTTAACAAATCATTTTACTTCTAGAATTCTACCTTATAGGAGACGCATAAGACTACTGTCAAAGTATTTATACGTAACGGGAAAAAAAATAGAGACCTCCAAAATATTTGTCACTAGAGGAATTGTCATAAAAATTAATGTCCACTCATACAATGGAATGCTATGAAGGTGTTAAAGAATGAGGCAATGTATTTTTATAGAGGACATCTGAAATAGTTGAGTAAAAAGGCAAGTTGTATAACATATTTAGTGCTATCCCCACTTAAAGAAAAAAGCATAAATTTCCCTATATAGGGTAAAATGAATACAAACCAAACCATATATAGCATCTACTCATCTTCACATGTTTAGAAGGGGGTATTTACTTTTTTACTTTATACACTTTCGTATCGTTTGTGTACACACACATACACCCACACATACACACATACACCCACACCCACACCCACACACAGCTGAGCCAATAAAGGACAAAAGCAACACTTCAATTCTGTGAAGAATGAATGATCTTTCCAATAAATGGTGCAGAGTCAACTGGATATCCATACTGAAATTAAGGATCTTAAAAAATAAATAAAATAAAATAAAAATAAGGAATCTTGACTCATATTTCATACCAACTGGAAAAACAAATTTTGAGACAGATTAGAGATCTAAATTTCTAGAAAATATAGGGAGAGTATCTTGATGACCTTAGGATAGCAAAGATTTCATAAACAAGATAAGCATAAAAGAATATGTAAATTGGACTATATTAAAATTAGGAATGTCTGTCCATCAAAAATCACCATTAAGATGGTGAAAAAGCAATCCACAGAGAAGGTACTGGCAACCTATACCTCTAACAAAAGTCTCATATATGGTGTATATATAAAAATACCTAACAAGTAAATGAGAAAAAGACATACATCACCCAACAGAAAAATAAGCTAAAGACTCAAACAGGCACTTCAAAAGACAATACCCAAATAGTCAATTAATATATGAAATGATGCTCTATTTCATAAATCATTAGGGAAGTGAAAATTAAAACTGTACTATGATACCTCTGAACACTCATCAAAATGGCCAACATGAAAAAGAAAGAAAATGTCAAGTGTTGGTAAGAATGTGGAATAACCTGAACTGTCCCATACACTGCTGGTGGGCAGGGAAAATAAAAGAATCATTTTGGGAAACTGTTGGAAACTATCTACAAAGCTTAATATAAACACAACTAGAATTTCCACTCCTAGGTAAATATCCACAATGGGAAAGCATCAATATATGCTCCCCAAAAGGCATGTACAAGGGTAATGGTGAACATATGTATGCTGTTTGAAAGAGCCAAAAACAGGTAATACCCAAATGTCCATTAATCACAGATAGGTTAAATACATATAATACTATGTAGTGATGAGGATGAACCAACTACAGTTAACTGAAACAGGTGTCTCAAAAACACATAATACAAAAGAAGACAAAAACAAAAAGAACACACAATTCTAGTTTTTATAATTAAACAACAAGTAAAATTATCATGGTGTTTTCAAGTCAGAATAGAGGCTACCCTTGAGAAGCTGGGAAGTGACTGCAAAGGGGGTCTTGAATGCTGGTAATCTTGACCTGGGTGCTGAGTACACAGTCATATTCACTTTGTGAAAATTCACTTGAGTCTTGTATTTATGATACGTGCACAATTTGTGTTATACTTCAAAGGTTTACTTTTTAAAAATAAGAGATAATACCAAAGAATGTTTGAAAGTTCATTCACTCTCATTAGTAACAAAATATTAGTAACAAAATACATGAATCATTAACTAAGGCACTACTGTGATCAATTAAATAAAGTCAGTAAACAAGTATTTATTGAGTCCCTGCTATGTGCCAAGTGGTATGTTAGCACTGATACAAGACAGACACTGTTTACTCCTTAGCCTCATGGAGATACAGGAAGGAAGGAAGGAGGAAGAAGTGAAGAAGGGGAAGAGGAAGGGTCCAAAATGTGAAGACTAAGAATGCATTTTTCATGGCAGCATAAATTGATGCTATTCTTTTAATAAGAAATTTGGCACTATGTACCATGTTCCTTAAAATTATCCATCTGCTCAATAAATTAGTAAAAACTAGGATGCAAATCACATATTAGTATGATGACAACTAGGTAGAAATGACCTATGTACAGAAAAAAAATGAAAATATATATTAAAATGTTTTTCTTTTTAATTCACCATTTTCTAAAAGATTTTAATGAAGTCATACTGTAAAAAACAAATCGATCATAATTTGCCACCTAATACCAAAATGCATTTTATATGTTAGATATTTTTCTGTATCTTTCAGGGTGTTTTAATATATGTATTTTCAAAGGGAAGTCTAATGAAAAGGTAAATCCTGCTTAAAAATAAATCAACATGCCTCTTTCTTTATGACAACCTAAATGTTATCCCTACAATAATTATAAGAAACATTTTGCAAGAGTTCAAATCCCACAAAGTAAATCTTTGACATAATATTTTTCTTTAAGATGATTTTAAAACTGTCCACTTTCTCTTAGAGATTTGTCTGGTCATAAAACGCCTAGAGGCAGGCAGATAGAGAAAGGAAAGGTTTTCAACAAGCTCAATCTAGCACCATCTTGTAATAAGTCTGCTGCTAAAGCTCCATTATAAAATCAAAGATGCATTCACATGAATAGACTTCTCAATAAAATAAAACCAGCTGTACAAAGGAGAAAAGCTTCTGAATGCATTTTCCAAATGAAATAAGCATTAACAATAATACCAAAAATATTAGTAACTCTTATACTAAAATAAAAACAAGTCACTGTGACTGAGTGTCTGAACTGAAGGAAGGGTATCAAGGACAAAATCTTGAGGCAAATCTAAACTAGAAGTAGATGAGAAACAGAAGGCACAAAAGACAAATCAGAGAGCCAGGAGGAAAGCAAGGAGAGCTCAGTACACAGAAGACAGGGTCAAGAGCCCAGGTACCACCTCAGGGAAGAGACCAAAACTGCAGTGTGTCCACTGGATGTGGCCTTTGGGAGGCTTGCTTTGGCATCAGCAGCTGCGGCAGGGTAGGGTTGGAGGGAGTGGGGCACCCAAGCAAAGCCGGGCTGTGAATGGACCAAGGTCTGACAGGCTCAAACCAGGGTTCTGAGGCATAGGGGAGGTAAGGTCTCCAGCCTCCAGGAAGACAAGAGGCATGAGGAGAGCATGAACATAGGGCTGATTTCCTGAAACTGCGGACATGTGAGCAATACATTACATTTTACATTCTGAAAAGCTCCCCAGCTGAAATTGTGGACCACAGATTTATTGCAGCAAATTGTTTTTTCCCCAGTATCACTGAGAACCAAAAGGCCGAACTGACATTTCAGTGGAAAGTGGTGGTTGGCACAAGGGCTGAGGTCACCAGAGCTAAGAGACAGACATCAGAGCATAAGACTTAAGTGAGAAAGCAAAGAAAGGTAGCTGCACCCAGGGAGAAAAGGGAAGATTCAGGTAGAAGCAGAGGGACTAGGACATGAGAGGTTGGAGGAATGTCACCAGAAAGTGAGATGCCAGAGTGAGATTCTAGGGATGAATTCATTTAGGTGAAGATTTTACAAACAAAAAGGCATCCAAAGATTTCATAAAATCCAGCCATTTTTAAAAACAAATATAACGCCATATTTCACAGCTAGACTCTTGAAAAAAATTTTAAAACTTAAAATACTGCTTTAAAAAAATAAAATTATTTACTTATATATTTTAGTGAGAAAATAACATTTTTTTCACTGTAAAGTGAATGTGTCAAAAAAATAGGAAAAAACCACCAATAATACCACATTAATATACCTATTATTGCAGTAATTTTTAGCATAGTTATAATGATACTACATATAAAATTTTATACTAATTATTTTCCAATTAACTATATGCATTTTTTAGAGCAACATTTTTCCATGTTACTTTGAACACTTGCATGATATTTTATCAAGTAGATTTTCAAAATTTATCACTTGTCCCGTTGCTCATCTAATTCGGGGCTACCATAAATTACACAGGGGTACAAATCAGAGTGTATAATTTTACATTTCATCCCTGACCTGAGAATTAGATAATTAACAGTGTCTGAGGTGGGAAGTTGTCTCTACAGATTAAAAAGAGAACGGCAGGCTTATTTTCAGATGTACTATCTCACCAGGTCACTGACAAGCCAAAAGATTTACCTGGAAGGAATCTCACAAAACGTGGCATGAAATGAAATCTTGGGCAGCAGGGAGGACTGTCTTCAAACAAAGGGCCTAAAGCAAACAAGTGAAAAGGAAAGAAAAAATAAATAAAACAGCCTCAGAAAACAAACACTGTGGCTTAATTCCTAAGATTTATAATAACCACAAAGAAACACCACTGGAGAAGTAGGGACATAAAAAACACCACCCCTCCTTCTCCCCAGCAGTTCAATCAATCATGTGATAACTGCCACAAACATCCAATGAAGACTGCAGTGAGGGGACTACCCAAAGTCAGAGGAGAATAAAGGCTCCAAGGATATACCACGTATATGACACATGCGGTAAAACTATTTCTAGAAGTCCAAAAATATAAAGATTTTTGTTATAGTTGAACTACTGCATGATATAATATGCTTGTGTTTTAATCCTTTTCTATTTTAATCAATACCACTGGGGGGGAAAGAAATAAATACTATTAAAAACTTGCTTTGAAAAGCCATTCATCAATACACTGTTTTAAAAATAAGTAAGTCAGGGGCGCCTGGGTGGCTCAGTTGGTTAAGCGACTGCCTTCGGCTCAGGTCAAGATCCTGGAGTCCCGGGATCGAGTCCCGCATCGGGCTCCCTGCTCAGCGGGGTGTCTGCTTCTCCCTCTGACCCTCTTCCCTCTCGTGCTCTCTGTCTCTCATTCTCTCTCTCAAATAAATAAATAAAATCTTTAAAAAAAAAAATAAGTAAGTCAATGTCTGCTGGAATACTAACACTTCCAAAGGAATGAACAATTATCTAAGAACCAAGTTTTGAACTGATATAGCTCAAAGTGTGTATGTGTGTTTTGAAGGCTAACTGAAGTTTTGTTTTTTGGGTTTTTTTTAAGATTTTATTTATTTATTTGACAGAGAGAGGGAACACAAGCAGGGGCAGTGGGAGAGGGAGAAGCAGGCTCCCTGCTGAGCCGGGAGCCCGATGCAGGACTCTATCCCAGGACCCTGGGATCATGACCTGAGCCTAAGGCAGATGCTTAACGACTGAGCCACCCAGGCGCCCCTGAAATTTTAATAAACTGTCATCTTGGAATAAGTTTATTACAGTAAAGTTCAATAGATTTAAAATATTAACTATTGAGATTTTCCCTAATGTACATAAATCAAAGTAGTTACTCATAGTAACTGATACCATCTTCTTAGGCATCAGTTAGGTAATGGATAATGGTAATCTTAGGTAATGAACACTTTCAAATTTTATCAAAATTTAAAATAAGACCTATAAGGTCTTATTCACGTCAAATGATACTAAGTGTTCCTATGAATAACATACTTTTCCTTGAGTATTTAAAAAATAAAGGGAATTTCAACTGTCTCCCCATTGTTAGAAGTTTTTATATATACTACAACATTCTTCTACAAGCATTACATTTCTCTTTAAATCTTGTTATTTACCTTTAAGATTCCAGTCATACAATTCCAAAATATCTCTGAACAGGAATAATGAAAAGAGTTCAAGTCCTTTTACACAAAAATTCTGAAAAATAAACCAAAATCAAATTACTATAATACTGTAAATGTATACTGACTGAAGGTTTCACTTGTCCTAGTCAAGTGTCTTTAAAAGTGTGCATTAAAACTATACTAAAACCATGTAATTTCCTAAAATGTTTGGCCACTGTCCTACAACAGTCCATTGGCTTCAGACATAAATGAAGTAGGCAATAATGCCATTAGGATTCCTACAAAAATGTAAACTCAGTCCTTGCAAACATACAAATAAAATGATGTGAAATTTAAAAATTAAAATCCCATTATATTTTTCTAGCCAATTAAATCTCAGAATCAGAATTTCCTGGGGACTTTTTTAATTCAAACTACACATACACACACTGGCGGGCTCTAATAGGTTTGTCCCACCACCCCACCCCTGCTCACCCCCACCCTTCGCACACACGCAGAATCACCATTACAGTTACCATAAAAAGAGGTCTTTTGTGCCAAAAAAGTTCAAATTCTTAATGAAGGCAAATAGAGGGCTAAGAAAAACTACAAAACTTTGTACCAAAATTTCTCCTGTAAACAAGCTTAACAGATGATATATTTATAAGTGAGACTTGTCTCATAATTCTTCCTCCTACTTGTCTTGCTCAGGGTTCATAAATCACCCTGTGTGAGATCACGCCAGAAGTCATCAACTTTTACAATAGCAAATGAAGGCTTATGACCTTAAAAATCAAAAGGAAGCAAAAAAGCCCTTCTAAGCTGGGGAATGAAGGGGCGGCCCTTTCTCTTTAATTCTTTTTGAAAGACAGGTAGAATTACCAGGACTTGCTCAGAATGAAACAGGTGCAAACTAAGCCTGTGTGTCATGCTCATCAATCCCCCTCAGTGCTCCACGACAGGGCTTCACTGTTAAACAAGGTTTGCTAGAAGAGCCAGGGGCTCAGGAAATCGACCCCGACTCAACAAATGTTAAGTGCATAAGCTTGTTTGCTGTCTAGTTATTTCTTAGTGTGATTTGTTGACACCACTAAATTCAAGATCAGGCAATGAATCATTCTGAGATTCACATTAATCTTGCTTTGGAATTTTAAACCTCTTGCATATATTTAGATAAATCTGCTGCTGAGCATCCGCAATGAAAAACAATTAGGAAAAATATGTAAATATATGGGAAGAAAAATGAACCAAGCATTGATCTTGTCATTGGAGATAATGAATAAGATTATTCCAACAGTTATCAGATTCGGTTTCACTGTTCTAATTTCCCCTCTGATAACGACCAGTAACCCGAATCTGTCCCCCATCCAAAACAAACTGGAAATAGATGTAATGTTACTATCAGCAGATGCAACACGAGGAGAAATAAGTTCAAAAATAGGTCAAAAGAAGTTGAAAAATGACCCAAATTTTAACCTTGCTCCTAGAGCTACAGCTCAGTGACCCTTTCAACAGCGAACACCATTCTTTGGGGGCATTCCTATGGCAAATAGCCAGAGCTGGCCAAGTTTAACGGTTTAAAGATTTAAGTGTGAAATAAGCAAAAAGAGCAAACTACATCGGGCTATTAAATAATCTTTCCTCTTACCTCAGGCATCATCTCCTCAATGAAATGAATTGTGTAGTCTATGTTGAACCTGATTACTTTACACAGTGGAATCTGCAATAACAAGAATGAGAAGTTCAGTTCTGCAGTACCCTCCTGCAGGCTTCCAGTGCATGTGTATTTGCCATGAACCAAATGAGGTTTCACCTGAATCCAAGCTGCTAACAGTACTGTACATGAAGATTTGACCACAACTGCAGGATTTTAATGGCAAGAACCCAGCTAGTTCGGCCTCTCCAGGAAACCTGCATAATGCTGGTGCTTAATTAACTGCATTAGCAGCAGCAACACAAACATAAGAACCCACTAAAACCAAACATATCACCTCTAAAGTACTGATAAAATCACAATTAAACATTTTTTCTCAGGTTTTTTAAATCTTTCAGAATCTTTAGCTCTTCAACTATATTAGTGATAGCAGGATGCCAACCCATCAGTTATAGATTCGTAAGTCACTGAAGTGCACACAACTCAGGCCACCCATCCGTCTCTGGAGCAAAAGCAACCATGGTAAGAACAGTAATAATAGCTAACACTTACCGAGCCAGGCACTATTGTGCTGTTTCATGTATGGTCACTCGCGAAACCACACCCGTAAGATAGGCACAATTACTATCCCCATTGTATAGTGGAGGAAACTAAGGCAGAGGCATCAGGTACCTTGCCTAAGGTAGCTAGTAAAGGAAAATCTTGCTCTAGACCACAGCTCTGAGCCACTAGAGTACACACCTCTCATTATCTGTTCGGACACTCGGGGTCTGTGTGGAAATGAAGGAAGGCCCAGATGAAATAAATCCACATCTATCTTGTTTGGTCATCAGACTACTAGCCTAGTGTCTACGCATAATAGGTTTTCCGTAAGTGTATTTTTCAATGAAGGAAGGAATGAGAGGGAAAGTGTGAGGTCACTGAAGTGGCTTAACGGACAACCTAGGGAAAAGAATAGCCTAGAGATGTGTTAAGTAGGCTTTTCTGGCCGTTCTATCTGTCCATAAGATGATTTTATATAGATGTAATCATTTTTACAAATCACAGCAATCAGAAAGAAACAAACTTTAATTCTGCCAGCAAAAAAAAAAAAAATGGCAAGAAAACCAAAAATAGTCTTATAATGCCATCTACTGGAAATCTTTTTCTCAGAAATGAAGTTCAGTTCTTTGGTGCTTTTTTTTTTCTTTTAAGGATAATGGCTAATTTGAGTGAAATTTATAATTAACTTTAATAAGAAATCCATTTTCAAACTTTTAATAATGAGTTCTAAATGAAGTGAAGTGATACACTAAGGCCACAATTATTTTTAAGTTCTTTATTTCTATAATCATTTAAAAATATTTGAGAATTCCAAATTTGTATATTATTCATACTTTTAAATACCCATCCTTTGCTAATAACCCGTGTTAGGTCCGTAGTTATTCTAAAATAAGCCACAGCCTCTACCTTTTTTATTTATTTATTTATTTATTTTTAATTTTTAAAGATTTTATTTATTTATTTGACAGAGAGAGAAACAGCAAGAGAGGGAACACAAGCAGGGGGAGTGGGAGAGGGAGAAGCAGGCTTCCCGCTGAGCAAGGAGCCAAATGCGGGCCTCGATCCCAGGATCCTGGGATCATGACCTGAGCCGAAGGCAGACGCTTAACAACTGAGCCATCCAGGCGCCCCTCTATCTTTTTTAAAAGGTAAGGATCTAAAGAGGAAGACAGCCATGTAAGCAAGTATAAATAAAACATAATGTATATAATGTAGTAAGTACAATTAAAACAAATAAAGCAAACAACAAAGTATAAAGTACAAAAGAACCAAAGAGAAGGTAACATTTGAGTTGAGTCTTCAAAGATGGGGAGAAATTTTCCAGAATTAAGTTGGGAAAAAATAGGCGTTTAGTTTCTAGCAAGACAGAAAGTAGGGAGCTGAGGGAAGACCAAGTCTTTTAGCTGTTCAGGAGTGAAATACATGGAGAGAGAGAAGCAAGGAGATTCTAAGACAGGAAAAGTATGAACTATGTAATGCAGACCATATAAACCACATTAAGGATTAGGGGCTTGTCCTTACGGCAATGCAAAGTCACCCAAGTACTTTATTTTTTTTTTTTTTTAAAGATTTTATTTATTTATTTGAGAGAGAGAGAATGAGAGACAGACAGCACGAGAGGGAAGAGGGCAGAGGGAGAAGCAGACCCCCTGCTGAGCAGGGAGCCCGATGCGGGACTCGATCCCAGGACTCCAGGATCATGACCTGAGCCGAAGGCAGTCGCTTAACCAACTGAGCCACCCAGGCGCCCCCATCCAAGTACTTTAAGTGAGAGACTATCATAGTTTACATTTTGAATGGGCTGTTCTGTAAACATTGTGGGAATGGTTTATGCATTCCCTTATGCATATACCTTATGCATTGCAAGGCAAGAGACCAGAAGACCAGACTGGAGTCTGATGAAATAGACCAGGAGCCAAATGAAGAGAAGACTGGAAGCAAGGGGGCAAATTTTAAACATGGGAGATGTTACTGAAATATACAATGACCATTCTGATGTGGAAGTGAAAGACAAGAAAGAAGAGAGAAAAATTTCTAGATTTCTGGCCTAATAACAAGATAAATCACAATGGCATTAATATAAAGAAATTCATAGGGTGTCCCCCAAGTACCTCAAAATCAATATGCGAGGAAGAGGATAAGTTCAGTTTTGCATAGGTTGAGGGCGAGGTACTTGAGGGGATATGAACGTGGGTATGTCCAAAAGGCAATATGAAATGTGAGTGTGGAGCACGGAACCATGTCATAGCTATAAATATCGATTTGGTGGGGATCAGAAGATGCACAGAAGGAAAACCTGTGGGTGAGACTGTATTACTCAGAAGAGAGCACCCAGAAGAAAAAAGGACCAGCCCTTGGGAAGTCAAGAGGCAGGCAAAGAAAGAGCAAAAGTTATTCCTTCTACGACACACAAAAGCAATTCTGCTAGATGATTTATGCAAGAACAGTCCTTTCCCCATATCATTTCAACTAAAATTCCTTTTTGGGATTCTTTCTTTGAGCTCTTCTCTTACATATACTTTATTTTCTTTTGGGCTCACATCCATACCACCAGAGCCCTTCTGAGATACACAAATCTGGGAAAGCAAGATCTTCTTTTCTATTCACTTTTATCTCTCTCTAAGAGTCAAAGAGAACTTGTCATTTTTTCTACATATGGCAAGCTCAATTTATTGAAGGGTCAATGGTCAATCAAATAATATAAATGACTACCATTTCTTAAAACTTGTTTGAAGACTGACATTAACTCTTATTAACTCTTATTTCATCCTACTATAAAGAAACAAAAAACCCTCCCAAACTTCTACATTCTAACTCTATTACTTCCAGATGCTGAATGGCTAAATCCAGGGCAGTGAGGCCACTGGAAATGTAAAGCCATCTAAAAGCAGGGGTTTTCTTGCACTTTTGAGGACAGGATAAGACATTATGCATCTAATACACGTATCTTTACAATTTTAGTTATGTTGCCAAAGTCCTTAATAACATCAGGTATTCTAAGTAGTAGCAGATGTGCTATATAAAAGGATAAAATGCTCCCAAATGCTCTATACTTAGCCAACAAGGCTTTCAATCCACTTCAATTGAAGAAGATCTTAAGAAAACTTGTCAGAACTAGATTGGTTGAGATTCTAACATTACCATCATTTGCATGCCCTTCTTACTGATATGCTCTCTCTAGCAAGAAAATGAATCAGATCAGTAAAGCGATTTAAAAATTCTTTTTCTGGGAGGCTATTTCAAACTCAAGAGGCCTTTGATGGATCTAATCCCTATGAACTGTACAACATTCAGCTTAAAACTCGATTTATTTTATCAACATCTCTAACATAAATGATGAGGCTTATCTTCCCATTACAGAGTGAAGTTCTCAAATTTGAAGAATTTGAGTATTTATATAAAATATATGCTGAAGCCAGCAATTTTCAGTTCTATCTTTGATTTTATAACAGTAACAACCTCAATTAATTGAGCATTAGCAGCCTCTCAGTGCCAAACCTTGTGCTGACAGGCTTTAAATAAAGCTCAAAGAATCACTCCTCCAAGGTCACATAAATATTAAGAATTGGTTAAAAAAAAAAAAAGAATTAGAAGACATAAACCCAGGTCTGTCTGACATCTTATCCAAAATAAGAAATGCCAACATGTATGCCAAAAACCATGACACTTTTCACGTGTCATCTCATTTATTTTTTACAAAAACCAGTAAGATTGCTATAATCCCTCTATCTTATAGATGAGAAAATCAAGGATTATAAAGATCAAATCATAGGCTGAGGTGAAAGGTCAAATCACACAGCTAATAAGTGGAATTCACTAATGTTTAAACCCTGGTCTCTCTGAAGCCACACTGCTTTCCTTCTTTGATTAAGGTGATACTAAAAGTTAAATGAGATCTATCTACATTACCTCCAAGGAAATAAGAGATAATTTTAAATATTTTCATGGTAACTAAATTATTTATATTTGCAAGCCGACTGAGGAAAAAAAGACAGAAATGCATTATGTGGGAGGAGCTAGACTAGAGGACCTCCAATGGCCTTTTCCACCCTGAGACTATGAGGTTTGGTGTAACAAAGGGTTTGTGTGCCTGAGACATTAAAAAAAAAAAAGTGAAGAAACCATCAAAATTCAAAACCTCTTAGTGCCTTTTCATAAAGACTGTTAAGAATGGTCCAATATAAAATTCTGTAGCTATGTGTGGTGCTGGATGTTACTAGGCTTACTGTGGTGATCATTTTGCACTATGTACAAATGTTGACTCATTATTACACGGTACACCTGGAATTAATATGATGGTTTATGTCAATTATATCTCAAAAAAAGAACAGTCCAATATTACGCTCTTTTCTATATTACGGTCCACACTGGAGGTGGAGGTAATATGTATTATCGAATGATTTTATTTTTATATATAGAATGTCATCACTTTCCAAAGAAAATTCTCTAGGATAAAATATATTGTGGAATATGGAAAATTCCATTAAGAAAACAATTTGTTTTAAATTAGTACCACTACTATAGAATCATGTCTACTTATAAAGAAAAAAAGAACGACAGAAAGGAACAAGGTCAGGCAAAAATTTTATTCTTTACTCTCCAATGGAACAGAATTTCACGTTCTGAGTAAACAGCACTTAAATAACTTTTTAAACTGCAGATGTAATGTCTTAATAACCAACTCAGAAAGGATTAAAGAACACTGTATTTTGATGTAGATACACCACAGCTATAATTTCATAAGTTCTCTAACAGCATCTGGACTGGGTATACTGCTATAGTCTGAGCAGCCAACAAATTCTACTCTATGTCCAACTATAATACAGAATAAGTAAGACAATTCCCAAGACTGTTAGCTTTGAGACAGCAAGATTTTGACTCATAGATAACAGAACTTCCATTTGAACCAATTACCAAACAAAGCAACCTTGATACCTGTAAAAAATATCACAGATCTCTATGTCAGACAAAATCTCTTAAAGAAGACATAGTCCTGGGATTCGAAAGCAGAAAAATGTAGGAAGTTAATGCAGGCTCCAGGTGTCCCGAACACAGCTCTCTTTCTTTTCCTATTGCTTAGACACTAGATAATAGCTGTTCTTAAAACTTTCCAACTTTCTTTTGAAGGACACCCAGCCCAAAATAGCTTTGACACATTATTCCACAGTTTATCCTTCTTTTTCCATCTTTCACACTCTCAAAATGTTATTCTAACACATGTTTACTTACACCATTTAATGTGGACCAAACCTGTGACTCATTAGCACAGATGTCACACCCCCACCTGACACACGCCGCCACAGACTTCCTGCAACTCATGCAGAGGGATGCAAAGTAAATGTTACTTACAAGTCAGAAGAAAAGAAATTTACTTTGACTTTTAGAAATAAAGAATTAAGGGAAGGAAGAGAGTTCAGGAAAAGGAGAAAGCCAGCCAATTAGCACATACTTACATTGGTCAGGGGGGCATGGGCAAACATAGAAAATCCTTCAAAGATATACTCATGATCATCATATTCTATAACAGTTGGCCTGTCAGTCTAAAAGCAAACAGAAACACAAAGCATGAATTTAAGAACATGATTTGCATGTACAGAAATCCATGAGAACACAAAGGTACCAAGAGGAGAAATGGATGGACTCCATGGGCTCCATGAACATTCTTCTAAACAACCAGGGAGAACTTTATATAAAAGTTTAATTTTAGGTGGAATTCTCTGGCTTCAGTAATATTTACATATTGAGACCATCAAGAATGTTTATTATCGGTATCATAAAGGGAAAAAAGGCTATATGGCTTCATTCTCTAGGAAACTGTTTTATTTAATCCCACAATACTACCAGATCTACTCTTTCTGAACTGTATTCCTGAACTAACGAAAGTCCTAACAAGAACAAGATAATAGCACAGTCAACTCAAAGCTCAAAGTGGAAAAAGACTCAGCATCACAAGAGTCAAGATTAGCAACAGCCTGGAAGGCCCTGGAAGGCCCTGAAAGGCCTCAGGGTGCCAGAGGCTCAACCCCTCCCAGCTCCATTCCGAGGACCTCCAAGAAGCCACCCCACCACATATGGCAACAAATCAATTCCCACATAATGTCAAAAATCTTAATTATCTGAAAATTGAATATGTAGTTAAAATATACAAATGTTAGTTAATCCACGCATACGAATTCTCTTCCTTATGCTATTCTTATAGACCACCATTTTTAATCCTAGATGCTAAATATGGAACTAATTATCAAGATTGGTAACCTAAAACACACTTTTTTAAAAAGATTTTATTTATTTCAGAGAGTGAGGGAGAGAGAGAGAGACAGAGAGAGAGCATGAGCAGGGGGAGGGGCAGAGGGAAAGGGAGAAGCAGACTCCCTGCTGAGCAGGGAGCCTGACTCAGGGCTTGATCCCGGAACTCCGGGATCATGATCTGAGCCGAAGGCAGATGCTTAACCAACTGAGCCACCCACAGGCCCTGAAAAATGTGGTTTTTAACACAGGTATTGAACATTATTCTTTTAAACCATATATATATATACAGAACCAAAGGAGGATGCTAACGAATACCCACACGTACATTGGTTGTTTTGCCAATACTACTGTTAGTTTCTATTTGAATAACTCTAAATAAAGCTGGTGTAAATTAAACATAATGTAATAATTTAAACAAAGTAATAAGGTACGGCCACTTTGGAAAACAGTTTGGTAGTTCCTCAAAATATTAAACACAGAGTTACCACACGATCCAGCAACTCCAGGCCTAGGTTTATACCCAAGAGAAATGATGACATACATCAACACAGAAACTTCTACACAAACGTTCACAGTAGCATTATTCATAAGAGCCCCCAAAGTGGAGACTACCCAAATGTTCATCAATTCAATAAATGGATAAATATAGTATGCCCGCACAAGGGAATATTATTTGTCCATAAAAAGGAATAAAGTTTGGGGCGCCTGGGTGGCTCAGTCAGTTAAGCATCTACCTTCATTCAGCTCAGGTCATGATCCCGGGGTCCTAGGATCGAGTCCTGCACTGGGCTCCCTGCTTAGTGGGGAAGGCTGGCTCTCCCTCTGCCTGCCACTCCCCCTGCTTTGTGCTCTCTCTCTGACAAATAAAATCTTTAAAAAAAAAAAGGAATAAAGTTATTATGTTACAACATGGATGAATCTTAAAAACATTATGCTGAGTGAAACAGGCGAAAAAGATCACATTTTCTAGGATCCCATTCACATGAAATATCTAAACAGGCTAATGATAGAGACAGAAAGTATCTTAGTTGTTGAAGGCTGAGGGATATGAAAGAACTGACTGCTAATAAGTACAGGGTTTCTTTTGAGGATGGATGATGATAATGTTCTAAAATTAGATTGTGGTGATGGTTTCACAATTCTGTGAAAAGAATTACATCATAAAATATACACTTTAAGTGGGTGAATTTTATGGTATATGAACATCTTGATAAAGTTGTTAAAATATATAATTACTAATAACCTAATTTTGAAATTGAAATCTCTTGATGACAGAGGTAATAAAATTAATAACTTTGCACTGTGGAAGCCAACAGAGCACAGTGGAATAGCAGACAGCCATGCACACCCAGTCACACTGTCCAGGTTTAAATCCCCACTCTGCCACTTACTACCTGAATGATCTTAAGCAAGTTACTTAACCTCATCTGTAAAACAGAGATTACTGCCCCATCTGGATAGTGGGGATAATAATTCTCCTTCATCCGTTTGTTGTGAGAAATAAGTTAATACATGTGAAACATTCAGAGTGGTGCCTGGTACCACAGTCAACAAATATTACATATTATTATTACTGTCATAAATAAATAGACCTTCTTGATTGGGTCACTAGATATAATATATGAGTTATTCACTAATTTTTAAGAGATGAGCAAGTGTTCTACACATTCTTCCGACTCCACAGTTCCAATGAATATCTCCAAAAGTCATGGCTATTATGAATGTGGCTACTATGAGGAACTGAAAACATAACTGAAAAAAGGTACAGAAAGTAGTATAATGAGAGGAAGCAACAGAAAAGTCATTATGATAAAAGCCAGTTTTATCAACATAAAAATTTTTTTAAAGAAAATTTAAAAACTGAATCAGTATTGAGACTATTCACATTTAAACCTATTTGTACATATCCAACCCATTTACATTTGAAAATAAATGAAATTTGAAAATAAACAAAATAAAATAAATGAAATTAAATCTGACTTTGTTAGAAACTTACCAAAAAGTTTGTAGGAGGGGAGACTGTAATTCGATAGTGGAAAAGTCTGCCAGCATTGTTGGTCATGGGACGACAGGGCTTGATGGCCTGAGGGGGAAAAACAAAAGTGAGTTTAAAAGTAAAGTAGCAAAATATTTTTATTTAAAAACAGACTGTATTTCTAGATCCGCATCTGACAAAAGAGTTTTTACGTGTGTTCCTTCACAGGTTGGTAGGAAGAACAGTACCATTAACTACATGAATAAAAAAGAACAGGCTGGTCACCAGGATTCAACCAATCTCCTCATGTGCATGCAATACAAGGGGTTCAGACAACATGAAGATCTTTCTAGATCTTAATTTCTAGGACTATCTTCCTTTTATTGTAACATAACACAATACTTGACCTTTGGCTAAACTCCCAATATGCTAAAAAAAAGGGGGGGGGGATCTCAAAAGTAATAGCAGGTTTTGATAGGGGGGAAAAAACAGTTGAAAGGATCATTAAATGTGCTCAGTAAAAATAGAAGGGACCAGAAATGAAGGACACATGAGAGGTGGCAGAATAGAATATGCATGGAGTTCAAGATGAGAAAAGGAAAACAGAAACTGATATGATTTTTTTGCTCTCCTTCCTTGGATCACCGGGGCTGACTCATAGTTCAACTGATCCCTCTGTCCAATCCTGCTTACACATTTCTCCTCTCACAGGTGAAGTTCCCTAAGAAACATCAGGCACCCAAACTTCATCTTAGCATCTGCTTCCGGAGAATCCAGTGTGTAGCTCCAGGAATGATCCAAGAAAGCTGGAGGTAAGATAGGATTCTGGAGCTGAAATCACTTACCACCCACTGGCAATGAGGACCCCATCATGGTGGTAGCTAGAGTCCCTGGCACCAGATGGCAGACCAACTGAAAACTTTCAAAGATGGTGAATTGGGAGGGTATACCAGTGGAAGCAGGTGCAGTGTACCAGGTATTTAAGACTATGAGAGAATGCATGCTATCAGGATAACGGGATAGATGGCTATTGCTAAGCACCACTGATGCTCTACCATGTCTCTCAAACTGTGTGCTCTACCACGTCTCTCAAAGTGTGCCTTGAAGTCACTGGATGGCTTGCTAAATATCTCAGATTGCTTGCTCCCCACCCCCAGGGTTTCTGATTCAGCAGATGAGGCAGGCTGAGAACCTGGCTCCTAAGGAGTTCCCAGGTGAAGCTGATACCTGGAGAACCCCTGCTCCACAGAAATGTAATGGGGGGGGGGAGGGGAGGCAACTGAAAGCCAGTCAGACTGTTGGAGGCACACAGGGAAGCTGTCCCCTGCATTGCCAAGACCAAACCCAGGGTCAGAGATGGGTGGGCCTTAGAGACAATTAACGGCCAACCAGGGTAGATCTGTTATGCCAAGGGACGAGACTTGGAAACCTGAGATAAGGACATACAGGTTTTAACCCCCCAGACCCCTCGAAACCTTCCATCTCCTCCGAGATGGCCCAACCCTGTCTATTAAGAGCAATCACTCACCTGTGTCCGAAGGCAATGGAAGACCCTGCAAGGCAACGCTGCCTCCCCCCAATCAGTCTCCCCTCCTGGCCAAGAGACCTATAGTTAGGGTCACTTCACAGCATAACCCAGCTGGGGAGGTGCTTCGAGGAGAGATTATATCCCAGAGGAACTGCAAGAACTAGCCAGCATGTGCCAGCAGCAGGAGTCTGCACAAGACTGGATGCTGAGAGGGCTTAACCAAAAGGGCCAGAACACAAAAGTGGTTAGGGAAGGGTTTACTGACTTGCGAGCATTCAGGATTCAGGGACACCAGATGCCAGGAATTCCCTACTAGGATGTCTCCTAAAAGCATGAAAAAGCAATGGCCCACGATGAGTGTGGTTAAAATACCAAAACTGCCATGACAGAAAAGGAAGTAATTCAAAGAGTCAGGAAGTAGGCACGTTAGAATGGATATAATATCTGTGACTGAAAAATACACCAGATTATCTTATTTCATGGGGAGCCCCAGAGGACATGCCAAAGGCCATCTACTAGGGGCCAAAAGGAATGTGCTGGGGAAGGGACACCAGCCTCACTAGGAAGATCAGTGGTGGCCTCCTCTGCAGGCCAGGGCTGACTGTAAGAGAGGTGGTCACAGAGCAGAGCTTGCTCACAGCATGGGGATGACAGGACTCTGAAATAAGGGAGGCAAGATGGTGGGGTTAATTGTTAGAAGCCAGGTCTCACAGTATCATCATAACCAGCAAGATCAAAGTGGCAACTAAAGGGGTCTAGCCCACAAAAAGTCATGGAAGTAGTTCACAGAACACAGTATCCTTAGATAAAATAACTGAGTAGCTGACAATAGTAATACTTGGTTTGTACCAACAGAAGAAATCAAGAATGGTTAACCAAGGGGCTGGAGGTAGGTTGCTCCAATGAACAGTCACGATCCCTTTCCCAGTTCCAGACCTATAGTAGGAAGGGCCCTACAACACCACTGCAAGCAAAAATGGTCATGACAACCCTGTCCTTCCCCAAAGGCGCCTATGGCCATTTACCCAAAAAACTGTACACTGGGGAAAGGGGAACCAAGAATGTTCAAGGAGTATTGGACATAGCATCTGAATCAACACTGATACTCAGAGGGGACTGGATACATCACCTCAGTACACATTAGAGTGGGTGATACGAAGCCAAGGTAAAAAAAAAAAAAAAAAAAGGAATCTCAGTCAAGGTCTGGTTTACCGCAGGTCCAGGTCCCCTGAGTCCACAGATCTGCCCAGTGGGCATTTCCCCTGGTCCTCGAAATGTTTCATTGGAATTGACAAAATTGGCAGAAGGCACCGTCCCACACTGGGTCCTTGTTCTGTGGAGTAAGAGCCATCATGCTGGAAAAGGTCAAGCAGAAGCCCCCAAAATTACCATCATCCCCAACACAGGCATCAAAACCAGGATCTCTCTGGGGGGATGGTGCAGATTAGTGCCATCCTTAAGGATCCAAAAGACACAGGGGTGACAGTCTTTATCGTATCTTTAATTCACCAATCTGGCTTCCAGGGGGGAAAAAAAAACAAAAAAACAAATGGATCCTGCAGGATAACTACAGACTACCACAAGCTCAACCAAGGAGTAGCTTTGACTGCCCCAGCTGCGCCAGATGCTACAGTTCAGGGCAGATTAATATGACCTCGGGTTCAAAGTGGACAGCAACCGATTTGCTGAATGTGTTCTTTTCCATCCCAATCAGAATGAGGATAAGAAATGGTTCACATTCTGTGTTCATTCACAGAGAAAAGACAACATTTACAGTTCTGCTGCCAGGCTGTGTTAACTCTCCCATACACTGTCCCAACAGTCCAAGGAGCTCTCGACCTTCTGGACATACTGCAGAACATTATCGTGCTCCACTGCATCTGTGACATGATGTTTATCAAACTAAAAGCCTCGGCAAAGCCCGCATGATCCAGAGGGTGAGAGAAACACCTTGCGAAGATTCAGGGGCCTACCACAGCCACACCATTTTTAAGAGCCAGGGATCTGAGTGCCAAGACATCAGTCTACAATAAAAGACAAATCACTGCATCTTCCACCTCTTACAATGAAGACGCAAGCGCAACAGCAGGCAGGCCTCTTCGGGAGACAGTATAATCCCCACCCAGGAGTGCTGTTCCGGGCCATTCCTAGAGAGGTGCAGAAGGCTGCCAGCTCGGAGTGTGGCCCCATGAGAAAGGCGCCAGTGCTTCCAAGCTGTGGTGCGAGGAGCCTTGCTGTCGGGGCCACGTAATGCAGCAAATCCTACATCGCCTGTGGGAAAAGATGCTGAGGGGGGGTCTGTGGCCACTGGGAGAATCGCAATGCTGGTATCTGGTGCTCTGGGGCAAAGCCATGCTGCCTACCGTGAAGAATTATATGCCTCTGAAACACCACCAGTGTGCGACTGGGCCCTGGGCGACACGGAAGGCATGGCCAAGGGAAAGAAAGAGGCATGTGGCTGAACTGCCCATCCCAAGCTGGGTTCTGCCGTCCCACACAGGCAGAAGTCTGGAGGGGACCAGCGACAATCCATCATAAGATGGAGGCTGCACACCCAGAGCCAGGCGCACAGGCGCAGGAGGAGGCACAAAAAAGCTGCAGGAGCGGGTGGCCCACCACTGGCGCCCGGCACCCGCCCTTGGCTGATGACCAAGGACGGAAGGGTGGAAGCAGAGGGACGCGCCCAAGCTTGCTTTGCAAACGAGTCAGTCAGGGCTGGGGGAGCACGCCCACGACAGACTGTGCTGCAGCCGCATTCAGGGAGGAATCTGAAAGACAGCGACGAGGGCAAGTCTTTCCAGTGAGCAGTTTCAGGCAATGTACCTGGTTATCCACTTTGTGTGGAAAGAGAAGCAGCCTGAGGTTAGAATATAGATGGACTCATGGCAGAAGCAAGTGGCTATGCCAGCTGGTCAGAGGCCTAGAAGGAAAAAGATTGGAAGACCAGGGATAAGAACGTCTTGGGGTGGGGGCGCCTGGCTGGCTCAGTTGGTGGAGCATGTGAGTCTTGATCGCAGGGCTGTGAGTTCGAGCCCCACGGTGGGTATAGAGATTACTTAAACATTCTTTAAAAATTAAAAAAAAAAAGGTCTTGGGGTAGACGTGTGGGTGAACAAGTGGGGGTGAATGCGACAATCTCTGTATCACACGTGGGTGGAGAACACACAGCACACCCTCCACGGAAGAGGTACTAAGCCACCTCAACGACAAAACGCCTCAGCCAGGTGGGGTCAGCCAGCCTCAGTCATCAGCTACCCACCCGGAGCTGACAGTCTGGGCACATGAATGACATGGCCACAGACGCTCAGGCTGCTTCGCATGAGCCCAACAGCCGGGACCTGACTTACCAAGGCCAAGCTGGCTACGCCACCTGCCAAAGCCGAACCTCCCACAGGCCATCTACAGTGACCAGTGATGGCCCCCAAAATGGCTCCATTCCTTGCGGAGATCAACCAGGAGACCAACCTGCCACTTAGCAGGTAGTTGGCTACAGAGGCCCACCCATCTTGAAAGGGCCAGAAGTTTGCTCACAGGAATAAACATGTACTCTGAGGATGGGCTTGCCTCCCACCAGTCCTCAGCCAGCACAGCCATCCACCCAGATCTTCCTTCAAGGAAGGGCCTGCTGCCCAGCTGTGGAGAGAGCAAGACAGCCCACAGCCACCGGCTCCTTCAGGGTCAGCCTCTGCTACAGAGCCCCCTTCCCCAAGATGATGCCCTTCCCAGGGCAGCCCGCTCTGGGGACAGAGGGCAAAGAGGGTGTGAAGGCTATGCCAGCCTGATGCACGACAATCCCAATAACTCCAGCTTTATGAGACCCACCACAGGGGGCCTTCTCCCTCCGCTCAATCCTGCCTCCACTCTCTTCTTGCCTAATCCGATGAAACATCTCGTACCGCAAATCTACTGCCGCACCTGCTTTCAGAGAGCCCCACCTGAGGCACAGGTGTGGACGTTCAAGGTACAGATCCTCTCGCACAGTTCCTTGCTACACTACACTCAAAGACAAATGAGGTAAAAGCAAGGAAGTAGTTAAAAATATCCATCACTGCCACAGAGTCTTTATTCCCATTGTTACGGTCTCAAACAAGTCTTACAGAAAAATTATGGATTTACACATACTACGTTTAAACATAATGTGCTGGATCATTAAGTGATAATCTGGGATTAATAACATAAAAATAAAAGATGGCAAGGGGAAAATGAAGGAAAATAATTGAAAAGGAGCAGTTATATATAACTATGATATAAAGTATTCAAGTCATTCAGTCAAACATATTTGGAGTGTCCTTGATGAACCAGGGGATGGGGTACACAGGTCAAATAGTCCATGCGCCACTCACAATTTAGTGGGGACCACAGACTAACAAAGACAACAGCATACCCTTATATACCTATATACCCCTAGGGAAAGAGAACATGTGCAGCTTAGTAAGATCATTTTTCCAAGGTCATTCATAACCATTTACAATAAAAGCATGAAAAAATTACCATGTGTGCAGTTTTAAGACATTTAAAATAACAACAGCAAAAACCCCTCAAATACACCTTGCCTGTTTTATACAATGAATCTTCCAAAACTTTTTAAAGTTTCCTTTATAACATTTCCCACTCCATCCCCCAAAACCCAAGTACTTTTCTTCTCCAATTATCAGTAACGGAGACTTTTAGGGAAGATAAAAAGACTATTTCCATGGTATTATTTCATTTATGGGAAAAGAACAGCGACAGCATCTGTCTACTTCTGGCTCCTCAGCACTTACAAATATAATAACCCAAATGAGTTACCTCTTCTCCGGGATAAATGCTGTGCCTGATTCCTGTGCGTCTTGCTTTGGCGCTGCATTTGCAGAGTGGCCCATCATTCATCTGTCAGAAACAGAATGTAATTCTTTTTTATTCGGGGGAAAATCCACACCATGCACAATGAGGCCTCGGAAACTCTTTGGGTTTTAATGTCATGAGTACGGGAGCTCTGAAGAGGCTGTCACAGTTAGAAGATTAAACGGATGTTCCAAAACCAATAAAGCTGCAGACTGTCTATATTGTCTGATAAAGGGAAACCATATGACAACGCTAGATTCCCAAGTTATTTGTGCAGCCAAGCAGAAAATATCAATGTCAGGGCATTGTTTGCCCCTGTCTTCTCCTACCACTATTTCAGTGTGTTTCTCGCATTTCTTATTTCAGGAAATATGACTCTTTCATAAAAGAAAAGCACATTTTATATCCTGAAGGAACACAGAGAATGTTTTGAAGGTGACCTGCAGATTGAATGTTTCCAAAAGAAAAACCTAAAGGTATCTAAAGCAGAGGGGAAAAAAAATGCTACTAGAAGCAGAGAAACTCAAGGCTTATCAGGTGAGTCAATGTCTGCTTTTTCACCTGAATTCATTTTACTGCCATGAACTCTACCCACATGATAAAATGAGTGAATAATTCCTGAATGCCTCTTGGACAGAAAGATGACTGCTAAACATTAGGGGGGAAGGAGGGTGACAAATAACTCGGGGTCCATGTATTCAAGAAATATTTACTCTAGACAGGAGAAATAACATACGTATGATATACTCAGTAATTTAAAGAAAAAGGGTAAGAGTCCATGTGGCGATACCATACCACTGGCTTTAAAGAAACGAAATGTGAAGGGTAGAACAGGACAGGAAAAGAAGATGGCTATTCTACATGAGGAAAAAAAGGGAAGGAAGAAAGCCTACGTTATGCTCCAGGGACATGAGACCCATCGAAACAGAGTGGGTCATTTATGCGAGCAAGAAGACCAAAGACGCAGAACTGAGGTCAAAATCATAAAGGGCCTTAAAAGCCAGTTTCATGAGTTTATTCAACACAAATGGTAATACTGAATCAAAACAGAGACCAGAGCATCAATTCGGAGAATGGAGAAGCAAGTTCCATTTCTCACTTTCTTTGTATTTATTAAAAATATATATATGTAGGTATAGGACACATAACATGTAACACACACGTTTCCTTAAAGTTCTAGGGATTTGTAACTCGCATCCAATGAAAATGTCTCAAAACTTCAAAAAGAAATATTAAAGTGAAAAATGATAACTTTCTTTATCCTTTTGGGAAATCTAAAGCCTCAGGTAGCATAGTAGAGGAATAACATCACTACCTAAAAAAATCATATTAAGATATTATCCAAAGTAACAGTTGGTAAACCGAGTTGTGATGGGCTTCACTCAAAAGTCACACCACCACTCCTAATCACTTCATGCTCACTGATTTCCAGAGAAGCACACAGACATCCTACATTCCTGCCTTTTACCAGGGTCTTGGCCCCAGGGCAGATCGGCCCTTTACAAGGCTCAACTGTACAGAGGACACAAACCAAACATAGAAAACAGAAGGGTGAGACTGCAAAGAAGGCCTTTGTAAATCTCTAATAAAAATAAGAACGTACAAGGGCGCCTGGGTGGCTCAGTCGGTTAAGCATCTGCCTTCAGCTCACGTCATGATGCCAGGGTGCTGGGATCAAGCCCCACAGTGGATTCCCTGCTCAGCGGGGAGCCCACTTCTCCCTCTGCCCCTCTCCCAGCTCATTCTCTCTCTCTCTAACTGAAAAAGAAAGAAAGAAAGAAAGAAAAAGAAAGAAAGAAAGAAAAAAAGAAAGAAAGGGAAAGAAAGAAAGGAAGAAAGAGAAAGAACATATAGAAACCAAGGAATAGGCTTCTTGATAGAACAACAGAGTGTTAAGACCACATATGGGGAAAAGGGTGCAACAATTAATGGACACAGGACTTCTTTTAGGGAAACAAAAATGCTCTAAAATTAAATTGTGATGATGGTTGTTAAATCTTGTGACTACACTAAAAAAAAAAAATTGAATTGTACACCTTAAGTGTGTAAATTGCATAGTATGTGAATTATAACTCACTAAAGCTGTTTAAAGAGATCATATGCACAGTTAATAACATAAAGTAAGTTTCAAAATGCTTCACATTTTTAAACATTTCTGCTCGGGGCACCTGGGCGGCTCAGTCGTTAAGCATCTGCCTTCGGCTCAGATCATGATCCCAGACTCCTGGGATCGAGCCCCGCATCAGGCTCCCCACTCTACGGGAGGCCTGCTTCTCCCTCTCCCACTCCCCCTGCTTGTGTTCCCTCTCTCGCTGTGTCTCTCTCTCTGTCAAATAAATAAATAAAATCTATTAAAAATAAATAAATAAATAAACATTTCTGCTCAATTCCAAGAGAGCAAAAAGTACCACAAAATACATTTGTCAGGCATTCCGCCTATATTAATTCTAAAGAAAGAAACCATTCAGATAGCTGTCATCTACCAAGAACCAGAAGAGCATTCAAATTAATATAGAATGGTATGCATTTATTTATAAAGTCTGCATTTTACATTATCTTTTGATAGGTATATGTTTTATTATGCTTAATAACTTTGTGTAAATTAAAGATACTATTTTTATATGTATTGTATATTTATAAAATACAAATCTTTTATAAACATACTATTTGGTATTAAGTGTTACTTCATAATAAAATAGTAAGTAAAAATAAAAATGATTATGTCCAGTTATGACATCATTAGCTCAAAAATGCTTAACAAGGAACAGAACTTACAAGGAATTGTGACTATTACCAACTAAGAAATATGAAGTCTTACAGGACTTAAGACATTGTTTACTATATCGCTGCAAGATACCTTCCAGATGAATTGCTTTTAAAAAGACCTACAAGTGCTCTCTCCCTCAGCCTGCCATTTGTCTCCTTCCGTTTACTGCAAGTTTAATGAGGCAGCACCATTACCCTGCTCCCTAACACAGAATTTACAAACATCGTCAAACATGATTCAGGAGACAGTGGCGCTGCTGCTTATGCTTTGGTGCTGAACTCTGAAGCTGAAGAGAAATAAACTCCAAGGAATGACACACAATGCTGCGAGTAAAATTCAGTTTTCATACCAGCCAACATGCATCTTCTGAGCCTGGAGTCATAAATGTGATGTATGGGTCTGCAACCTTTATAGCAAGAACAGAACATAAAAACATGCGCACCTGGCCTGGGTCATTGTACCAAAGTTCATCATGCAGCCGGTCAGGGTGGGCCTTTTTACGTTTGATTTCTGCAATGACATCAAAAACTTCAGAGTCTGAGCTGCTCGAACAGGTGCTGTCCTCATCAGACTCACATTCGGATTCACTGGAACTCTCTAATAGAGGTCAGGGGGAAAACAGAGAAGATGAAGAAATTCCCAATTGTTTATTCTTTCAGCAAACATTTGGGTGCTACTCCACACCAAGCACTCTGCTAGGCAATACCATGAAAATAATACAGCCCGTGGTGCTAAGTCACAATCTAGTTACAGAAGCGATGAAAATAGAGTTTTAGAGAAAGACCTAATGAACAATGCTACAATAGCAGTGTGGAGTCTCACGTTTAAGAAGGTGCAGTAATTCAAAAAAGGGCGAGTCCACCCTGACCCAGAGGGTCCCTGAGATCTCCTGGAAGGGGTGCATGTGATCCAGACAAACGGATGGGGCAGAGCTAGGCTGATGAGGGGCTGAGAGGAAAGGAATGCAAAGGGAGCCCTCAGACCAAAGCATGGAGGGAAGAGCACAGGCAGTCTGGCTAGGGCAAAGGCCCCATAAAAGAATACCAGGAGGTAAAGTGTTCGGGTGTCATGAATGCCAGACTGAAGGCTCTGATTTCCAGACTGAAGATTTTAGATTTTTTTCTCTCCATAGTAGCAAAAGAAGATTTTAGTCCTTGGAAGTGACTAGATAAAAACTGAGAATTTTGCTAAGTGATGTAAGCCAGTCACAAAAAGACAAATACTGTGTGATTCTACTTCTAGGAGGTATTAGAGAGCTCAAATTCATAGAAAGAGAAAGAATGGTGGTTGCCAGAGGCTAGTGGGAAGAGGGATTGGGGAGTTGTTTAATGGGTACAGAGTTTCAGTTGAGCAAAATCAAGAGAGTTCCGGAGACTAAACAACAATGTAAATGGTCTCAACACTACTGAACTGTATACTTAAAAAATGGTTAAATGGTACATTTATATGTTACGTGTACTTTACCACAATTTTAAAAAACAGACCTAGAACTTAGGTTAATCCTACAAGAAATTAACGTAGTATAGCACAGTAATAAAACTCAACCCTTACATAGTTGGATTTTTGAATGTACTGCGTAAGATAAATGCTATTGTCTTCCTTCTTTTACAGATGAGAAAAGTAAGGCACAGAAAGATTAAATCACTTGTCCAAGGTCACATACCAAGTGGTAGAGCAGGGATTTGAACCCAGGCCAGCTGGTTCCATCAGTGCTTTTGCCCACCATGGACACTGCCTCTCAGCTGGGAAACATACTGAAGGTGGGCAGATGAGAGCCAGAGAACACGGGAAAGGCACAGTGAAGGCCTCATCTGTGAACAGCTTTCTGTTAGGGGCTAAGACCGCAAAGTGGTAAAAAGCAGTTTGTATCCTCAAAGATCCTAGCATCTACTTGGAACCTCAGAATACACGTGAAAAAATAGACCACCATATGAGAAAGTTATGGAAAGTATCCGTGTGAGTTGAGAGAAACCTTCAATCAGAGCTGGCTTAGCGCTGGCGTTTCCTCATCAAAGCAGGAGTGCCCTGGCAGTGGAGAAGGCCACGGGGAATGCCTGCCCATGAGAGGCACAAGGCACAGGGTTAGGTTTAACACGCTCCTGCTTGTGGCGGGGAGGCTGGACTATGGTCCCTTCTGATTCTCAGACTGGACAGTTCTACAAGGGACACAACTGCTAACATGCCCTGCAAATGAGATCTCTTATGGATTCTGCTGAATGTAACTAAGGAAAAGTAAGATCAAAAAAGAGAAAGTTCCATTGCTACGTATTTTGCTGACCATAATTAAGGAAAATAAAATGAAAGAGAGGAAATTTCAATGTGGGACTCTCAAGAACACATCCCCAAAGTTGAGGTTTAAGCAATGACAAGAGCACAGGGTCTTGGTCTAGTAACTTCTGACTCACCCAAATCTTCATCTAGCTTCGTCTTGGGAGGCTCCCACGGAGGTCTAGCAGCTTTGGCCTTTTCTTGCCTACTCCCCAGCTCTTCCTCAAATTTGTCATATAAGTCACGCAGCCTACTTGTTCCAACAACAGTAGAATCTCCCTTTGAAAAAGAAAGGATCAATATGAAGAACTACATTAAAAGCCATACCAAAGAGACATACGACCTCACAAATAATCAAGGATTTGTAACAGCAAGGTGCCATCTCCTTCAATTTAACAAACATTTAAAAACAAGATTTCCAATGCTGGCAACGGTGTTCTGAATCACATACGACATTTATGGCTAACACAATCCTCAGGAAAATGCACTTTGCCAACACTGAGAAACATAAGAACTGTTTGTCTATGCCCTTTTGATATGATAAAATAAATCATGACCCCCCCCCCATAGGAATTCATGATAGCTGACACTCTCCTAGGGAACATACACTTCCCTGCTACTAAAAATCACTCAGTCTTATCTTCCACATTAACCCAATGATTAAAAATCAATATCCTATGGAATGAAGAAATCACAGAAATAAAAGGCACAGCATAGGGAATATAGTCAATGACACTGTGATACCACTGCATGGTGACAGGTGGTAGTAGCTACACTTGTGAGCATAGCATAAGGGAGACATGTTGGTTGAATCATGTTGTAGACCTGAAACTAATGTAACATTGTCAACTATATTCAAATAAAAAAATTTTTTTAAAAAAGGAACATCGCGGTAGCATTTAAAATGCCAAAGACAGGGGCACCTGAGTGGCTCAGTTAAGCATCTGCCTCTTGGTTACAGCTCAGGTCATGATCTCAGGGTCATGAGTCTGAGCTGAGCATGGAGTCTGCTCAAGCTTCTCTCTCTCTCTCCCTTTGCCCCTCCCCCATTTGCATATTCTTTCTCTCTATAATAAATAAATAGAAGCTTTAAGTAAAAAAAGGAAGAAGGAAACATCTTATATATCCCCCACACACACATATACACCCCATAAATACAGACCCAGACACACACGCACATACACATACACTCCACAAACATAGGGTCCTACAATGCATTCCTAGAGGAAATTCTCCACTTTGCCCCACTCTCTCTTCCCAGGTTAAAATTGCTTTAAATGTCCATACTCTCCAACTTAGTAATTTTCAAAATATAAGGACCAGACCTATCAGACGTAAAAAGCAAATTAAAGCCAATCATAAAATCTGCAGTTATCCTGAAAGAGGTAATTGCTTTTTCGAAGCCTCACCTCATACTGACATCGGCAAATCTAGGATAGCTGACATTCTTGCCACCTCTCTGCACCAGACGACAGAATACAAAGGCAAATGTCGGGCTTCTAGTTTATTAGCTTTCCTTCTACACCAGTTTTAATATACCCATACAAATATAAGAAAAAAAAAAAAACTGTGCCTGTTCAAACTCTTTAAACCTCAGTGTCTTCAACTTTGTTATTTTAAAGACAATAAAATTTGTTATGGCAGCAATGGAAAATGAAGCCCTGGAGAAGACATATGATGTAGTTCTGGGGAAGGGATGGAAGACAAGATCCACAGGAGCTCTGGGCAAGTTCCTGGAGGATAGCCATACCCAACACTACCCCTGCATCCTCTGTCTGGACAGAAGTGTGTAAAGATGATGCCTGGGGTCATCCTGCAACCATGGTAGACGCTCCAGAAGGCAGCAGATGTCAACCTAGAGCCCTGCCATCACTGACCCACTAAATGAACACCAGCCACCGTCTCCCTCCAGACAACTTGTTGAGAGAAATAAACCCAGCTTCTTTAAGTCACAATTAGTCAAGCATTATTATTCACAGCCACATTCTTAACTGACAGATACCTTCTTTCCAGGAATGTTTTGAGGATTAAGTAAGGTAATAGGAGAAGCATGAGTAAAGTTGCAGCACCATAAAGGTACTAAGCATGTGAGTTTTCCCTTTCCTGTATTACGAACCACTACTTAAAACCCTGCTCTAATTTATCAAGTAAAATATCACAGCACCATGAGATTTCTCAAATTCTTTTTTCCAAAGACAAGAGAATCTACTTTTAAGTTCCCTGTAGATAAGAGCCCAGGCCAAGTACAAGCTAGTTTCACAAAATTCCAAGTAGAATGCTCTTTTATCTAACCCCATCCACTAAATCTGACATCTCCAGCCTCTTACCTCCCAAACCGGTAGATGATCATTCCTTCACTCATCCATTTAATCAATGAGCATTACCATGTGTCTACCCTGTGGCAAACAGGTCTAAATTAATGGGATGGAGTCATAACACCTACCAGGAGAAAGAGACTAGAGAGCGACCAAAAATCAAATGGATATAAGAAAAAAAAGAAAAAAGAAGCAAGCACATGAAAGAGGAGGTCATGGAGTCCGACACAGCAATGAGAGAGTGGGCTGCCAAGGCCAGGAGCCTCATGTTGAGCAGCATGTGCACTGAATCTCTCAAGAGCCCATGAAGGGTGACTATCCCTGCCATTCCACAAAACCAGCCAATATGCATAGGAAACTTCCTGTGGTTATCTTTGGTAAGGACAGACTTATAAGAGACAAACTCAGATTCTTCCTTATTTCCCACCTTGAGGGGAAAATATACACACAAACGCACAACCACAAACTGCATAAAGTAGTTACGTGTGAGAACTTATCAAACCACCAGTATCAAGACTAGCAGTGTTATAAAAATGCAGAATGAAGAGATACTTGAATTACTCCTGCACTCTTGCCTTCGCTTGTATAAAACAGCTTTGGTCTACAGCACAGGTTCTCAACCGGGGAGGGGGGGAGGGGGCATTTGGCAACATCTGAAGACAGCTTTGGTATTACAAGTGGGGAGGGGTTCTACTGGCATCCTGTGCACACATCCCAGGGATGCTACTCAACATCTTACAATGCGCAGGGCAGGCCCCACCACAGAATTATCTGACTCCAAATGCCAAAGGTGCCAAAGCTGAGAAACCCTGGTCTACAGCTTCTCAGACCTACCACCTGATCCATGGGGTCACTGGAGTAGTAGTTTTCTGAGTGCGTGCAGCGAATCCACACAGGCTTAAGAAGTTCTTCTTCCTCCTCCTCATTTTTGTCAGGCAGTGTCTCCTCCGGCTCTTTTTCCTTTATTGAGGTATAATTCTTCTCTTTGCCAGTGCTCTGGCTGTCACTCCATCTGTCTTTTTCTTCCTCCCAACGAGCTCTCTTTTTCTCCCTACTTGGGGAGCGACTTTAAAAGGAGGCAAAGGACGCTAATTATTTAAAATGCTCTTATGTTGTAAAACGATTCTATTTCACCTGTTTAGTTCACTTTTCACCTAAAATAAAAATGCCATACCAAATCACCATATTTGCTTTTGTTAAACCAGTGATTCCTAAACACTAGTCTGATGGCATCAGAATCACCTGAAGTTAGTTGTTTAAAAATACAAATTCCCAGGCCCTACCCCAGATCTACTTACTGATTCACAGTCTCCGGGGGTGGGGCCCAAGAATCTGTATTTTTAATAATCTCCCCAGGTAATTCTGGTGTGCATCCAGCAGGTTCAGGGACAACCGGCAAACCGTAACTCCTAGAAGAGAAAGATATTTCGGAAATACTTGAAAATCTCCACAGACAATGTCAGCAACGAGAATACTAGTTTGAATCTTCCACGGCTTGCTTTGCGAAGAAAAAAGAAAGGCTTCACAAAACATGGTTTCAGCTTGGCCAATAAATTGAGCTTGAGGACCATAATCCAAGAGTGAACCAGTTATATCCTCCCTAACCACCTCTCTGGAAGCCCACACTTGGGTTACTACTTAGTGAACCACCACTTTGTCAAATTCTGATTCCTGCACAGACTAATATTAACTCAATTAAAAAGGATAAAAACAAGTCAATCTCCTTGAATTCCTGCTTGAAATATGCAAAGACCCATCCTATGGATGTGTTTAGAGGGAAAAACCTACAGGATAGATTTTAACTTAAGATCCAAAAATTTAAATGCAACCCTACAGACCCTGAGAATGCAGCCAGGGAGAGTAACTGCTTTATTAGTATAATGCGGCATCCTCTGCAGCCACAACTACCAAAGTTACTATAATCCAAGAAAGCTTACAACTGGATCAAAGTCATAAATTACCTATTCACATCAACTCTACCACTAACTTCTAATTTTATGACAGGAAGTGTGTGAGGGTGCAGGGGGGAATGGGTGGGTGATTAGAAAGATTACATATACTGATTACTTATTGATATAACTTCTGAATGTTACAATGTATATATTTTGTTACCAGAAGTTACTGTAAAGTAAAATGTATATACATCCACTGTAGAAAGCTAATAAAGCATTAACAAAAATAAAACAAAACTCATCCATAAAACCACTCCAAGATAACCACTACATTTCACAAATGTGTTAAAACATATAGATATAGGACTATATATACATAAAAATATACACAGTTTAACAAAAAAAAGGAACTCCATAGCCTGCCTTTCTCACTCAAAAGAAAATCAGGAATACCCTTCTATTTCAATACAACTATACCTGAACCACTTTTATAATAGGCGCATATTTTTCTTGTTATACATGTAGCCATAATTTGACAAACCTGATCAGAGTCATTTAGGTTGTTACCTTTTTCTTTTTGCCATCATAAACAATGCTACTGTGAACACACTTGTGTTCTTTGTACACTTGCCATATTATTCCACACAGAGAATGCATACTTTTTTTAACGCTTCTCTCTAGATAGGTAGTACCAGTTTAGACTACAATCAAAACCATATGTGAGTTCCCATTTCCATACATCCTGTCAACATGATTTTTTAATCTCTGCCATTCTGATGAAAGAAGTTATCTTATTTAACTTGCAATTTTTTATCACTACTGAAATAACGTTTCATGTTCACTTTCTTTATGAACATCCCAGTCATATGCTATGCTAGTATTGTTAAAATTAGGAGTACAGTCTTTTTTATTCATTGAGAAAGTTTTTTTAAGGTAACTGCCCTTCTGTCAAATGGAATGCAACCTCTTTCATTTTTTTTCCTTTTAATTCTATTGCTATATATAACTTACACGGCCAAATCTAGAGATTTTTTTTGTTTACGCTGCCTGCCTTAGTGTAATGCTTGGAATCCTTTCCCATCCCAAAGTTAAATAAATATTTTCTATTTCCTTCAGTTACTCCTTAACATAAATTTTTTTTATTCTACCTCTCCGAGATAGAAGACAGAAATCTAATTTCAGTTTTTCCTCCATATGGCTTGTCGATTGTCCCATCAGTTTCTCCTCTGATTTGAAACAATTTTATGATAGATGTAAATTTTCATATTACTTGAATGTTGCTCAATATCTGGGATATTTTATACCCACATCAAACTGCTTTAATTATTCTGTGTATTGAACACTTTAATTCTACTACAGTAAGTATCCCTGCATAATATTTTTCTTCATTATTTTCACTTCTATTCCAAGGAAGAATCGGAGTCATTATAAAGTTTTAAAAGTAGTAGTTCAACTTAAGTTACATTAAAATTATGGATTATTTGAAGAACACTGGTATTTTCACGACCCTGTTGTCCACTTCCGCTGTGGGAACATGGCATGCCTCCATTCACTTACATCACCTTGTCTTCAGCTACATTTCTAGTTTTCTTCACACTGATCTATATATTTTTTAAGCTTATTAAGATATTTAATTTTAGTTAAATTTTCAATAGTGAACCTACATTTTTTCCCCATTACATTTTCTTAGGTGTTTCTGGTATTTAGGTTTCTTAGGTGTTTCTGGTATTTAGCAAGTATATTAATTTTGGTATGTTTCTTTTATAATTTCAACTTCAGTGAATTAATTCTCATTGTTTCTTAGCTGATCCTCTTGAATTCTCCTGCTAATACCATTAGCTAATAATGGCAACTCTTAGCTTCCACTAGTATGGGGTTGGCTGGTTTGTATGTTTATTTTAGTGCTTAATGCAAGCCTAACACTCTGCTAAGCACTTTACTGACACTCACATTTAATCCTTAGAAGAATCCTATGAGGTAGATATGAACATCTCCTACAGAGGAAACAGAATTAGAAACTGCATCACTTGCCCAATATCACAAAGCTATTAAGTGGTAGTTAAATGCTAATATGGTTGTTTGACACAGACATTTTGACATGTACTAAAATAACACCAAATGTTTATTGCCGAGAAACAGGGGCAAAACCATCCTCACGCCACTCCCCTTGAAGCAGGTGTCCTGAATGATGGATGGTCAGGGTTGTCTGTTGTGAATATCAATTAATATTTTTTAACACTTTGAGAGGGTCATTTCAAAACAGGAGCAAAACATCTTCTTTAGGTAAGTGTCTCAGGCACTCCAAATGTCAAAATCCAAACTTGAACTTCTTTCTTCACAATAAGCTATACTACAAACTGTAAGTTTTCTTCCTTTACAGTATTTATATCTCTGATTTTAATCTTCTCATCCACTGCATTAGTTGGAACTCATAGAATCCAAGTCTCTGCCTTCTTCACAAGCTACTGGTCACTGGAGAAGAAACCACTAGACCAAAGAGATTTCCAGCACTCTACATTAAAAATCACCAACCACAAATGGGGTCCTCAATGGTTTCTATCAACATAGTATCTGGCTTTTTTTCCTGTCCTTAGCTCCTCCTCCATCGGCCCTTCCTCTCTGAACAAACTCTTCCTCGTTAATCTCATCTAATCCATGGTATTTGGTATTTCCAGCTGGGATCTCTTTTCTGATCTTTACACCTGTGTACCCAATTAACTACCACACAATTCCACTTGGTTGTCTTACAGATTCTCAAACTCCACATGCTCAAACTGTACTCATCTTGCATCGTTCTTAGTGCTCCCCACCCCCAATGGGGAGCACCAGGTCTCAGGTGATGGCTGCTGACTCTCCTTCCCTCACCCTCAGTTATCCTACTGACTCTATCTCATAAATGCCTCTCAGTTACCTCTATGGCTCCCCATCACCACTGTCACTGTGCTGGCCTAGGCATAATCCCCTGTACGGATTACTACAAAAGCTGTCTAAACTCACTTCCCAACGTCCACGCTTGACCCTCTCAGAGCACTTGTCTAAACTGCAACCTTCACACATGCTCTTTTCTCTCCTTCTACCATCCCCTTCCCTAATGCATCCCTATACACACTTCAAGTATCAATTGTAAAAAAGGTAAAATGTCAATTTTTCTATGACTACCCGAGACTGAGCTCTCGCTGTTGTGTTCCCAGAGCAACGTGTAATTGCTCTATCAAAAGCACTTCTCATGGCACTTAACTTTCTCATTCCTGTAAAGTGGGGACTCCTGTGAATGACTGTATCACTCACACCAATGTTTGCAATGTGTTTTGTTCACTTCCTGTCAGGTGACAGTGACAGGCAATGGAGCCGCATCTTTTTCCTAACTTGTATGGGAAGGCCTGAAAGGTTTCAACACTAAATTTGGCTCTTCTGAGATGGTGTCAGTCATGCTCATCATGCGATGATATTCTCCATCATGTTAAAGAAGTCTGCTTATATACCTAGTTTACCAAACCTTCTATTTATAAAAGGATGCTGGTTCTATTTTAAATACCTAATAAACAGGAACTGAGACAGCTCTACAGATTTTGACACAAAGAATTAGTTATAGATTTTCTAATACTAACCTATTTATCCATGCAATCTTGGACTAAACTGTTATTTTAATATGCTCCTGAAAACAACTGGCTAATATACTAATCAGTATTTTCATATCCATATTCAAAAGAGAGATTGTTTTGTAGTTTTCTTTCCATTAGGTTATGTTTTGCCATGTCGGTTTTCTGGGCATCACAGCATGAGCTGAGCTCTCTTTCCATCTTCACCAATGTTCTAGAACAGTTTAAAACTTTTTTGGAGGTGGTACAAATCCAACTTTTTCAATTTTTTTTCCATAGTTACTTGCCTGTTAAAATTTTCTGCTTCTCATGTGATTTGTAATTTTTGCTTTCATAGAAATCAACCCATCACATCCAAGTTTTTAAATTTTGTGAATATAGTATCTGTACTTATACCAACATATTAGAATTTTTAAATACCCTTCACTCTTATGATACATTCTTTCTTATACCTGATGGAGTATGTTTTTCTTTTCCTGATTTGCCACTTTTTAAGTCGTATGACCTTTCAAAGAAGTCTTGCATTTACTTCCAAATATTGTTACAGTGCTATAATTCTGTTTGCTATTTCATTAATTTCTTTTATCTTTAAATCCCTTTTTCTGCTTTTCTTATACTCTACCAATATGTAGAGCCAAGTAATCAGATAATTATATAAACATATTTATATATATTATAATTCTACATATAAAATGTATACATACAGTTACCATTTATTTGACACTAACTTTGGATCCAGCTCTGTTTTTACACCTATTCTCTCAATGACTCCTCATCACTCAATAAAGCAAGTGTAACTGTTCTTATTTTAGACAAAGACACTGAAGCTTAAAAAGGTTATATAACTCTGCCCAATATCAAAGTTGGGAGAATAACTGACCCCAAATCTGTCAGATTCCAGAGTGCTGTGATTGATTACCATTATATAATTTTACCTCTTGATATAGAACTGGTCACACCCTGTAAGTTTTGGTTTACAACAATCTCAATGTCGTTCTTCTAAATAAAGTGTGACTGCAGTTTTACTTTTTTTTTCTGAAACAAGTAAATTTAAGAGCATAATTATGAATTCCCAGGGTTCTTTTTTAAGCCTTGAATATTAATGTGTATACAGTTTTATAGCAATTGAGGTCAGAAAAACTGGCCTGTATAATTTCTAACTTTTTGGAAATCTATCAAGATTTTCCTTGTGCATCTTCAATACATCTTGAAAGTAAAGGTTTTTAAGTTATTGGCTGTTTTAGCTGTTCACAGGGCATTTTGGATAGACTCTTAGGCTAGTTTGAAGACTTGGTGATTATTATGCATAAGCACAAAACCTCAATTCAAGGAGATCTAGGACTTCTTTCAGTGTCAACTCCTTGCTTACCTTCCAGATCTCTTATACTCTTTTTTGTAGGACCTTTCCAGAGATGGTGATCTTCGGCTGTCCCGGTGCCTGTGTCTCTCCCGTTCCCGCTCTCTTAAAGGAATTAAGACACAGAGCTGTTTTCAACAGAAAGACTCAAAAACACCATCTCTTTTCACTGAATTCATCTTCTAAATAAATGGACCTCACCTACAAATTTTTCAGGCTCTATTCTCCATGGGACATTTTTATTCATCATTTATTAAAGGATAAAGGAGCTTTTCACTTTACAGAAGTTAACTAACTTGGACATTTTTTGTTGTTTTCTTCAAAGAAAGAAGTCATACTTGATGCTAAGCAGCAAAGGGATTTATGATAATCTTCTCTCCAGATGTTCCAACCAGCCAATCCTCAGTTGTTTAGCCTACAGGGAAAACTTTAAAGGATTCTACTACCTAGTGATTTCTAGAAAACTCCCAATTTCATCCATCAAATAAATGTAAATTAAAGCTTTTATTGTGAAAATTAAGATAAGGTTCTACAATTAAAGAGTTCTAAACTCTTACAGGTTAGAGGCCTGAGTGGTAGTCCTAGGTATTGCTGACTGCCATGAGATTGTAAGTCACTTTACCTTGAAATGCTGTTTTCATCTGGAAACAACTCCTAATGGAGACATTGGGTTTATGCAACGTAAAATAGAATGAAGGATTTTAAAACCTTTCAATGTAAAATGGGAATTTAATAATGATAATAATAACTTCTGAGTCTATTTAATAAGTATAATGAAGATCTGGAACAAAACTTGGAACTCTAGTATGTTTAAATCAGAACTAAATCTAAGGGAAATAACCATCCAATCTTAGAATAGAAAAAAAAAATGTTATATTAGCCTGAGTCCAGCTAGAAGACCATAAAAATGTCTGAATTCAAAAACATCCCCCAACCAATAGCCAAACAGAAGAAATGTAAATACACTGAAAATCAAAACTTACAAAAATGATCGAGAAATGTGACTGTTTAGATTATTAAAACAGAAATTGTTTTTTCACTTAAAGATCACCCCTCCTCAGGAAAGATTCCTCTTAACATATGTATAAGCCTCAGGTATACACCAGCTGTCCAAAATAAAGTAGCCAGAGCTTGGGATTCTACATTCTTTATTTGATACACTTCTAAAATTAGTTTACTGGGGCCCCTGGCTGGCTCAGTCGGTAGAACATGCAACTCCTGCTCTCGGGGTTGTGAGTTTGAGCCCCACACTGGGTGTACAGATTCCTTTAAAAAAATTAATAAATGAAATTACAGCTTACTTTTAAGCAGTAAAATCCCAAATAGTGAGTGGTACCACATGACAGATAAAATGTAACGTGTAATAGCATGGCGGCTGAAAAGAATAATCGCCTGTATTTGCTAATAAAAACTCTATTGAGAGGACATCCCGAATTTTTTATTTGTATTTTAACATGTGGGCAATAGAATTTTGCATTTGAGAATGACACTTCTGATGATGATTGCTACCTCGGAGTGGGTATGAATTGAAAAGGCCAATCTGGATATAAAGCACATTAGTAACATTGTTTAATGAACCCATTTAAAGCAAGAAAAACAATGTTTGGGTTGTTTTTCCAAAGACTCTTCGTTGTCTGCAAGCATTAAGATATTCCTTAGTACATAATACTAGCTCTCTGATGGCTACACGTTGTACTCACCAGGACAGCTATGGGGATTATTGTGCTTTAGCACCATTCAGTGCACTGTCCCCACCAGACTGCAGAAGAGCATGCTCAGTGCACTGCATGAGATTGTTTCTTTTCCCATTCCCCAGACTAACCCTGATCTTTCCTGGTAACAAATACACATATCCACTTCTTCAAAAACTTCCTCTAGAAATAGTTTGTCCTAAAACAATCTGGTAATCAGTATTCAACCATATTTTAGAGAAGAAAAAGAAGAAGATGGGATCTGAAAAAGGAGAGACTGACTTACCCTAAGAAGGAGGGCAGAAGTAGCCAGAGGACAGACTACAGAATTTGCATAAATTTAACACAATCTAATGCACAAATTTGTGAAGTTTTGGTTTTCTCCAATATACTTCTAGAAATTATGCTAGGACATCCCATGCCCGATTTCTATTTCACAGAGACATTCCTTATAAGACAGATGACTGACACTCTACCTAAGACCTCAAAGGGAGCCTACTATCACGTGGCCGTGACACTAAGGCAGCTCCAGGGCAAACACCCCAAGTGCATTACAAGACGACTCCAACAGAAATAAAGGCATGTAGAAAGATGAGCTAACTGCCTAAGCAGATCTTTACTATGTGAAGGAGTTGTGGTTTAGGATAACGCAGATTAATGGCACCTGATTTCACTTACCAGTAGAGATCCTCAGTTGACAGGACATAAGGTTCTTTAAAGAAACACATAGCTCCAAGTTTAAGCCTGATGCAAGAATTTAGGATTTTTATAGCAGAGTCCTAAAAACTTAACTACAGCACCCCAAAATGGAAAAAAAAAATGCCCATCTAGAATGTTGAGTTCGGAGCGAAGTGTTTCCCTAGAAACAGGATTATTAATGATCATTTCAAAGTCTAAAGACAACTATTAACACTTTCCAGTTTAGATTTTCACCATAAAGTTATCAAATACACTATCATAGGCCTCTGCCAATTAGTCCCTCAGATAATAATTAAGGACAAAATTGACCAAAAACAGTAACTCACGCTGAAAAGATTTTTTAGAGTCTATCAACTCTCAACCAGCTCTGGCCCACCAGGAATCACTCATTTCTGCAGGAAACAAGTTCCCTTCTACCTGCCACTGGGCATCGGGAAGAGGAAACAACACATTTTGCTTCCAAACCTTCCAAGTACTAATCACTCTGTTCAGGACTAAGAATGACCACCACCATTAACTGGCAAAATGTTCAGTCATGAACATGAAAACCAAGAGCCATGTGAAAAACGTGGAAACCAAGAAGTGAACTGATTCCACAGGAGCCAAGACCAGCTCTCTACAAACGCACATAGTGAAGTGACCTGGTTTGGGGCGCTCAAACCCTTTTAGCACAAAAGTTCCATAGGACAATGAAGGTAAACACACCACAGCGGACAGAAAGAGAAGCAGCACTACTAGCTCGACAAACAGAAAGCTTCAACAATACGAAGAGTTCACTGAAGGTACAAATTCTTTGGTACGGCTGTTATCTACACAGTTTTATTTTTCCATCTAAACCACTGGTTCTTAGACTTTTGGAGAAAAGTCTTGAGATTCTGCTGAAAGGTACCAATTTACTTACAGAAAAGCATGCATACACATAAAACTCTGCATATAACTTCAGAGCATTTCTATAAACCCATCTATGAGTCCCAGTTTAGAAATGCCTGCTGGAAACCTTACTTTCTTATGTATATCTGGTACAAATATTTGGTCTCTTGAAAAAAAAACAAATGTAATTTGGAATGAAGCAGTATTTTTCAAACACAACTTTCTTCAATATGAATACATTTCAATGCAACAAAATCAAGTTAAAAACTATTTTGAAAACTTTGATGTGTAACCAATGTTATTGCACTTTACAAGGAAACTGAGCAAGAAGGCAACTATGTACAATAAACTTCCACTTATCCTAAAAACCAGAAAGCAAATTCTGCTTAACTAGTTCAATTGATAGCATACACAGATCAATTCCAAAAGAACTCAGGTGCTTTAACCTGATACGGTGATCATACTGAACAAAAGTAAATATGATAATGCAGAAAACACACGAAAAAGCAGTATGTGAACTTTCATTAGAGCACCATTAAATGTCAGCTGTATTATGCAGAGTAATGAGCTTACACTCATTGCAATGAATCTACATTCATAATTTTGAAATGCTTTTCAAAAGTGGCTTTTCTAACATTAATTACTTGTCAGTTGTCTCTTCCTCTTCAAAACAGTCCCAAACACGCTTTCTTCCCTTTATAAATCAAAATGCACTGCGGGACCGTTTTGGTTTGGTTTTCTGAGAAACCCAGATGGCCCGTGTCTGGACCTCTGCAGTTCATTAAAAACGTGTGCTTTACCTGCTGCGCTCATAGCTCCGGTGACGGGAGGGCGTTCTCCCTCGGTCATAATCTGATCTGTAGCGGCTGTCTTGTCTTCTCCTGTCAGGACTTCGGCCTCGTTCCCGCCGATCCAGGGACCGATGCCTCTCGCCTCGCCCATGACTGTGATCCCGGTGCCTGTGATCCTCGTAGTGTTTGAGCCTTTCCGGGGATCTTCTCTCGCTGGGAGCCTTGGGGAGTGGGTATGGAGGGAGGTGCCTAAAATGAGGACTACTGCTGTTATTAGCACTGGGCGGGAAAGAACTGGGGTTGTTCTGGAAGTTATTAAAATTGGGAGGTGGGAAATTATGGTGTGAGTATCCTGGAGGGTACTGATAATTGACCTGCTGTGGCATGACAGGAGGGGGTGGGGGGTGGGGCATGGAAGGAGGGGGCATCATGAAGGGGAAAGTGCCTTGTCCAGGAGGTGCTCCAGGGACTGGGGGGTTATTAGGACAGGGCATCGGAGGTGGCATAGGGGGAAAACAAGGAGGCACGGGGAAGGGGGGCCTCATCTGGTGGTTTGGGAAGGGGGGCCGTATAGGGCAGGGAGGAAGAGGGCCTTGGGCTGATGGAGGCATGGGAGGAGGGAAGGGGACAAAGTCTGGTCGTGGAGGCAGAAAATTGGGGGCTGGAGAGTTCGAGAATGTGGTGGAAGGGGCACTTGGAGGTTCGTATTGATATTGCACAGGAGGCTGCTGAGGGTGAAGTAGTCTCAGATTTTGGGGCCTGAAGGCTGGGGCTGAGGGTCTGGCTCCATGTCCTCCCCGCCCTCGGGGACACCCTCGCCCTGGGTGGAACGACATTCTATGACTTTGCAGGAGGAAAGAAAAAGAGAAAAAGAAAAAAGAACCAAAAACTCACCATAAACAGGGTTTCGCAAACACCTTACCATCTTTAAGAGCAACTGACAGACCCCTTCAGCCACTGGATTATTCCACCTGTCTGATGTTGCCATTCTCTGTAATACCTCAAACTCCTCATGGCCAATAAACTCCTCTTCCCCTGTGTCAGTCCCTGGCTTCTGTCGCTCCCTAAAGCTGCTCCTCCTCCAGAATGAACTCAACATCCCACTGTTTAATCATTTGCTGTTGTCCGTGCTCAGGCTCCCCAAAAATCTGATCCTTGCCATGTCATCCTACCCACACCCCACATTCTCTACATCTGCACCAGCATCTTCCTGTCTTCACCTTCCTCCACACTCAGCAGAGATTCCACAAATGCAACATAACAGGTCCTAAAAGGAATTAATAACCCTCCCCTCCAAGACAATACCACTGGCTCTTTTCGCGTTTCCTATCTCGATAGATAATAGCATTTATTGGTCCTCAAATCATACACCAGGGAATTATCTGGTAACTTTTCCTCCCTTATCCCTTTTAGCCAAAAATTTATTTTTTTTTTTTATTTGAGAGAGAGAATGAGAGAGAGCAAGCACATGAGAGGGGGGAGGGTCAGAGGGAGAAGCAGACTCCCCGCTGAGCAGGGAGCCCGATGCGGGACTCGATCCCGGGACTCCAGGATCATGACCTGAGCCGAAGGCAGTCGCTTAACCAACTGAGCCACCCAGGCGCCCTAGCCAAAAATTTATTTTAAATTCCCATCACTTCTGCTTCATATAAATATTTCCTGAGTTCATCTACTTCACACCATCATTTCTTCCCTGGCTACAATGATAACACCCTTGCTGGCCTTTCTACAATCACTATCACCGCCCACCAGGCCTTTGTCAGGTTCCCTCTCTCACACTCCATGCTGCTTCTTGGCAGGTCCTACAGTAATCACAATTCACCAACTAATTACCTCCTTCCAACTTTCACGTTTGGCTGCACCTCAGAAATATAAGCTCCACCAGGACAGGGCTCTGGACTGTGTTCCTAGCCATGTACATGCCCCACGTGAACATACTTCCTCCTCTCCGCACGTATCAAAATCCTTCCCACTCTCCAGGGCCCAGTGCCAGTGTTTGCTCTTCTCTCTGCTCTCCCAAAACTCCCACCATTACTGTCACACCACTCACCACGTATTGCCTTGCATCATGACGTACTGTCTGGATATGTCACATCTTCCACAGAAAATATAAGCGCTAGAGGACAGAAAGAATAAAATAGGCATAAAAATGTTTCCCAAACTGCTAATGTCTGCAATCATCTTAACACTGATTTTGCATTCTCCAATGCATTGAGCATACTGACAAAATTAAGAGTATGTTTCCCAAATTAAAGTTTACAACTAACTTTGAAGATGTCCTTATCACAATGAGACTAGCAATCAAATTCAAATATAATTTGTAAACACAACAGGTATCCTTGATTTCATCCTCAGCTTTCCATTGAAGAATGCTGTGAACGTGAATGACTTTCCAAATATTTAAGCTTCAGCAAATATTTTAAAAACTCAAATAAATATTAAATACAAAAAACTTTAATGTAGAAGCATCTTCCTAAAGTCTATCTAACTAAAAGTTTTACCAATAGGCTTAAGGTAGATTTTTACAAAGGTTCAAGAAAATAATGTCAGATTATCTAGCTGTATCAATCACTGTGCTTAATAACTAGCAGGCATCAAATAATATCTGATTTATGATTATCATTCAGTCTAAGCCTTCATGATAAACCTATGACCTACACAGTTGATCTTGCCACCACAGGCTACTCATGGCTCATAGCCAACAGAATCTAATTCAAACTCCATGCTTGGCAATTAAGGCCTTCTACAACCTGGACCCAACTTCTTCTAGGCTTATCCTCCATCACCTTCCCTATGAAGTACCTATAACCCCAGATTTTCCCAGTTGCCTAACATACCAGGTACTATCACCCAGCTTGCTCTTTGCTCCCGCTCTTCTAAAATCCCCTGCTCTATGAATCTGCCCAGACTTTCATCTACCTATGTCAAATGCCACCTCTTCTGTGAAGCCTTTCCTAGTTCCCTTTAGAAAGTAATCCCATTCCCTCTAGACTTACTTACTTCTTTTACAGCACTTACCAGAGACTGTCTCATATTATAGTCATGTGTGCACATTTCTAACTCCTCCACTAGATTATTAGCTCCTTGAGGACATGGGTTGATTCATAGTCATTTCTGTATCCTTCACAGCCCCTGGCAGAACATCCTGCACATAGTAGGTGGTCAATAAATGTTTACTATCTCATCAATGGCATATGTTTCTATGTTGCTACTGTACACTTCCCTTTCACATATATCCATGACATATTTGCATTATCAAAACCAGACAAAGAGTAGGCCTTTTCACAGATTCATGCGATATTCAATGAGCCTATACAAGTCGCAGGCCCTGTGGACTCAAAGTTGAGTAAGACACATAGCCAGCAAGACTCAAGCTCTGAATTCACTTTAAAAAAAATACCTTTTAAAAAAAATAAATAAATAAGGCAATAAACAAGGGAAAAGAGGTATGCACAGGGTCTAGGGGAACACAAAGGAGTGTGCTGAACCTAGAAGTGGGAAACAGGATCACTAACACTTGTAGAGTGTGTAATAGTTGAACTTTCGGGATTAGATCCTCATGGATGTTTCTACAGAGAGAGTATCTGGAAACACTGATTATGAAACTGACATATCGAAGGCATAGTCAGACTGTGTTATGGATGCAAACTTTAATTCAAAATCAAAAGTCAAGGAATTCACTGCAACTGGAAAAGTACTTATTTTCTGCGTCTGTCTACTCCTAGGTTGCTGTTTGGAAGCAGGGAAACCGAGAGAGCTGTCTCGCATAGTTAAAACGTCCAGGAACATCAGTCTATGTTGAAAGAGTTGCAAACTGTGCCCACGTTATTAAGAACAACACCCTTTCCCTCACTTGCATCCCCAAGCCAGTCACCTTCGTCCAGCGGATTTGTAATTGCGTCTTTTCCTGTTTGCATCTCCCGCCAGACTGTGAGCCCCAGGGGCTCACGGTCTCCCTCCGCTCCGAGACCCGGGCGGCCCCAGGCCTGGACCACCGCATGCGCTCCATAAATGAATGAAAGGCCGCATTTTTCACTTCTATTTGTTTGCGGGATTCGGGCCTAGGGTCGCTTTTTTACCCTTAGCTGCAGATCTGAAGAGAGACTGCCCAACCTTAACTCGAAAGCGCCTCTCGCCCCAGCCCCGGACTCCAGACCCGTTTAAACCGGACACTCGGAAAGGCTCCCTGTTCCAACACCCGCAAGTTGCCCTTTTTACCTACAAAAGGTTCTCGGGCCGCGAGGTTGCCGTCAAAGCAAAGCCAGGCTTATTCTGCAGCCGCCAAGACCATAGCGCCACCCGCGCCTCCGGAACAGGAAACCGAGAAAATTAAAAAGCAAACCTGAGAAAGCTGGACCGCGACAGGGAAAGCTCTTGGGCTGGCCACAGCGCCTTGTGCTCGGTGATTGGCGCGTCAATGAGAGCGATGGACACACAAGCCAATAGCCTTCGTAGAACGCCCCGGCGCCCGCCCCCTGCCCTCTACATCTTCCAATGAGGAACCGCAACCGGGTGAGCGCGCGTTTCCACCCGGGAGGGGCTGTGGGGCTGCAGCTCCGGCGTTCCGGGGTCCTAGCCTCGCGACTGCGGCTCGCTGGGATGCTGCCGCGCGGGAAAAGCATGGGCGACTCTGTGAGAGAGCGCGGTCGCCTCCGGCGCTACCCCAAGCTCCCAGTGTGGGTCGTGGAGGATCACCAGGAGGTGAGCCGGCGGCTGCTTGATCCTGGGGCAATATCACGCGAGGGCCAAGGAGGTTGCGGAGCCTCCGCATTGAAGGCCAGAGATAAGCAGAATTTGTTATCCGCGCGAGTTCCATTGCTGTGGGGAAAAGCACCGAAACGACTAACTTGGGAGACTAGGCGCTGACGTTTATTGAATCGCTTACTATGCGTCGGGCAACTCATTTAACCTTTCACGGTTTGCCCAGAATCCCACACCAACAACTGGCGGCGTCGGGATTCGAACCTGAGCTTTCTCACTGCAGAGCCCCGTGTCCCTAACCTGCAGGATGACGCAGCCTTCCAGCTTTCCCCGGCGTCTCCGTCACGGCACGGCTGTGTGTAGGTGGGAAGCTTTTTGTAAAGAATGTGGGCTGCGGTCTGTGGTATAGGGAGTGTCATCGTAGCACTCAGGGCTGTTGGTATTGTGTGCTTAGCGTGTACAGAAATCTTTTTACAGCGAGCCCTGCTTTTATAAACACGAACGATATTTCCTATTTTTATGGCAGTGCTACTTTGGAGTAGCTAAAACGGTGCCTTAATCTAGTCTTCTGGAAGGGAGGCCCGTGGATTCGAGACTTTTTTTTTCTTTTTTTTAATTAATAGGCCTTGGAAGGTGTCTGGTTATGAAAGGGGGAGCGGATGATTCCGGATTTATGGATGGAGAAAGGAAGTTGAGTTTCCCAGGACCTAGAGATAGTGTGTATGGGCCTGAGAAAGAAGCACAAGGGCGGGTTAAGCGGTGTTTTCAAATTCAGTATTAAACCTAGAACTACAGGGACTCTAACAGGACAGGAACCGTAGAGACCGCCTAGCCTAGCTCCATCATCCTAAGGTGTGGAAAAGGCCAGAAGACCCAAGGTAGCTTGAACACATCCTTATGACAGAATGTGTATTAACTACCAGTGTTTTCCTGAGAGCCAATCCTTGTCTGTTTACCCACGTTATCTTTTGAGTTTGTGATGGGGCAAGATGGCAGCAAGAGACGCCCATTAAAGCCTTTGGAGGTGCAAGCTGGAACTTCTGAGGAAAAAATAAAGCTTGGGAACGCTATCTAAACCCATCTACAGTGAACAAATTTTATATTTTCCTACTTTTTAGCAACTCGGCGTGCTTCAAATTATGTGTAGTTATGTTAAGCATTGTTTTTCAGGCTGCAGCTGAGCATATGCTCATGATTGCAGTGCTAATTCCGAATGTGTGCCTGTGTTTTTTTACAGGTCCTGCCTTATATATACCGGGCCATTGGCTCAAAGCATCTTCCTGCCAGTAACATAAGTTTTGTGCATTTTGATTCACATCCAGACCTCCTTATTCCTGTGAATATGCCAGCTGACACAGTGTTTGACAAGGAAACACTTTTCGGGTAATACGTGGTTTTTGTTAATGATTTTTTTTTTTAAAGTAGACTCTGCCCCCGATGTGGGGCTCAAACTCAAGACCCTGAGATCAAGAGCCACATGCTCCACCAACTGAGCCAGCCAGGCATCCCTCTTAATGATCTTTTATGTGTTTGAAATACAATTTGCAGTACATGATAAACAAGGGAAATAGACTTTGCTGAGCTCATGAGTTTTGTTTTTGTTTTGTTTGCCTTTTTTATTTTATTTAGAGCAAGTGTTGACAGACTTTTTCTTCAAGAGCCAGATAGTAAGTATCTTAAGTTTGCTCACTGTATGGTCTCTGTTGCAACTACTTATCTCTGCCCTTATAGTAGGAAAGCAACCATGGACATTGTGTAACAAATGGCTGTGGCTATGTTCCAATAAAACTTTATTTACAAAAACAAGTGGCTTAGCCAATGTTTGCCAACCTCAGCTTTAGAATATAGAATTTTAGAGGTAGAAGAGACTTTAGAAGTTACCTAAGCCAGTTCTCCCATCCTCTCCCCTTTAAAAGTCTGGATACTAAGGCGCAAGAAAATGTGTTTTAAACACGTTGTTCAGTGGTTGTATAGGCAACACATCTTTAATTTGTATATCCTTCCTTCCAGTATTGAGTCCTTCCAACCTCTAAATTTGTACTACTTTCCCCTAGAAGGGCCATATATAATATATTTCTAAATAAAGACTTACTAGACTCTCTTCTGTCATAAAGTTCTCTGAAATTCTGCCACTGTCTCATTATGTATGCATTTGTTAGGATGTAGCCTAGTCATACAATGTAAAAAATTACATACATAGCAGTAATTTTTCTTTATAATATAAAATTAAAAGATAGATGCTAGCATGAATTAACTTTAGCCTACTACGTTTCTTTCAGTTGACCTTTTCCAGAACCCCATTTTAGAGAACTAATTTCTAAAGAAATGTGGTAGCTCTACCATTGTTGTTACTCTCTTTTATATTTAGAGGTTTTATATTTTAGAAATTGAAAGGAATTATGAAACAAGTATGCAGATTGTATATAGAATAATAATTCTTAAACTTTTTAGTCTGAGAATTCCTGTACACCCTTAAAAATTACTGAGCATTTTTCTAAGTGTGAGTTGTATCTATTCACATTTACCATATTTGAAATTAAAACTGAGAAATGTTTAAAATATTAATTTATTTCAAAAGAGACTTCAATATGTTAGCATAAATATATTTTTATGAAAAATATATTTTCCAAAGCAAAAATATAGTAAGAAGAGTAACAATGTTTAAGTTTTTGCACATCTCTTTGATACTTGTCTTTATAGGAGACAGCTAGATTCTTATATCTGCTTCCACATTCAGTCTGTTGCCATATGTTGTTTTGGTGGAAGTAAATGAAGAAAATTTAGAAAGTATTTTCATAGCCTTTTCAGATAACTATGAATATTCAGTAGCATACCAAAACTAACAAGTAGTGGTTTTTTAAAGCTTAATTCGAATGTAGAATCCAACAATTCAGATTTAAGTCTGAATAACCATTGTATGTTGATCACTCTTTCTTTCAAGAAAAATGGTGTTCAGCTTTCAATTGAATCACAAGTGTTTTTCCTTGAGACAACCGTTGTACTTCAAAGTATGTAGTAGCAGGAGTACTTTTTGTGCATTTCTCATTTTGCCACCCAGAATATTTAAAATGTATACTCAGGATCAAGGTTTAATAAAATTATGAAGGACCTTTTTACATGAAACTGGCTTTGGGAGGGGGCAGTGGTGCTTGGTAGTGAAGAATACAGTGACTACTAGTAGAGTTGGTGCCATCGCCTTGATTAGTCTTAGGATACCAACCCACCATTGTTTTGCACCATCAGTGCAAATGTCAATACAATGAAAAGGGGAAATGATGCCTTAATGCCATCAGGAAAATTGTTAAACTCTTGTTCTGGGTGAAATTACATTGGGGAAAAGCCACTCACTAGTAGTTTCCATGCTTTCTATTTCTTTTTCAGAGAATTAAGTATTGAGAATTGGATTATGCCTGCAGTTTATGCTGGCCATTTTTCTCATGTGCTGTGGCTTCATCCCACATGGGCTCAGCAAATCAGAGAGGGCCAACATCACTTTTTAGTAGGCAGAGACACTTCTACCACAACAATCAGGTAATTTCCTCATATTTATGAGTATAAGAGGGAATGAATGCTTCTTTTATCTTATTTTGAATCCCCATAATAACTCATAAGTTGTCTACATGCAAATGGGCTCTGATTAAGCCTCAGCTCTTTTAAAGAGCTCTCAAAACACCAGGAACAAGTTTTCAAGTGCCTTGACCTTCTTCACATACCATTTATATTTTGTTGCTGGTCACATTGGTTTTGAATAATAGGATCTTCATCTTCTGGAATTCTGGTTCCATTGATGACTAATTCCATTAAATGAAGTACCTTATCTATTTATCTAATGATGCATTTTACTATTTCCTTACAATCTAATTATTGTCTGCTGAATTTAACAATTAGCAGTGAAAAAGCAAAATTACCTCATTTCAGATTTTTTTTTGGTAACTCCAATGACTAAAAAGTAGATTTGGGGTTTTAGTTTTAGTAATATGATTAGCTTTAGATAATTAAAGTTACAGCATTCTTTGACTTGAGTTACATGTGCAGCTGTTTTTGTTATATAAGCTCTTTAACCAGTGTTTTATGGATATTGCAATACTGTAATTATCTTTAGAAATATCATCGTGTTCTTGACTTTCTACATTCTTTTGTGATGGGATGAATGTTTTAAGCAGTGAAACCATAACTTTCTCAAAGGTGAAGGAGAATGGAATAAAATGGTAATACATTGAAAATGAAATACAGTCTTTCTCATTGAAAGTGATACTTTTTATTTCTGATTTATCCTTAATGATACTGTTAGTTTTTGTTGTGTGTTCTTATCAATTGCACAAATAACTTTGTTGTGTATCCATGAAAATTATATTTATTGAGGATGTTATACTAAATAAATAAATATACTAAATAAGTAAATAGGACTCCACATAGAATAAATATTATATATAATACTGGTATATGTGAGAGAATGATAGTGCTTTTATTTAGTACTTCAGTGAGTAGACCTAAGTTGACCTCTAACAGGCTTCTGCAAAATCAGATAATTTTGAGTAATCTGAAACAGACATTTGAAACTCAATGTATAATAACAATATTAGGAAAAATTTGATTATCTGGTGATT